CAATCTATTTATTTGATTAAATCATTATCTTAGTGACTGAGTTAATCCTCTTTTAGAGTGATTAACAACTGGACATAGGGTCTTTTGATCTGAACCAGTATAAAATAGTTGTGTGATCTTCTTCCCTTGTCTCTTTACTTTTCAAGTGCTCTATTATATTAAAAGAAATAATCAATACCTTTTAATTGGTAAAATCTTCCAAAAATTTTTAAAGAGCTTATTTTTATAAGAAACCAATTCACCCCCTCTTGGTTTTTGTCTTAACGTGAACATTCTGTTGCGTAATACCAACAAGTTACAATTTCAATATTTTATCTTAATGATTTTTTTTTTCTAGTCTAAAGTATTTATTATCTTGAGTTATTTTTCCTATTTCATAGTACCTCTTGTTTCTTTTATCCTAAACTTATGTCTATCGAAAATTATGATATTTTAATTATACACCTTATTGAAAATTTTTTATCGATGTGTGATTTCCAATTCGAGATATATGTCAAAAGCAAAGATTTGTTTGGTCATGTTAATGGTAGCATTCTTGTCCGAACAAAGATGATCATATGGTTGAAATGCCAAATGAAAAGTTTATGATGCTCAAGTTATGGTCTAAATTCTACATTAACAACAAATTGTTCAAAATCTTTGTCCTTATAAAACAGTAATACAAAGAGGTGGGCTTACTTTTGATTTTTACTCTCAATTTATAAACATTTTGTTGAGAACATTAATATAGTTTATGATAGTTTGACAATGATGGCCTAATTTGAGTCTCAACTATTCTTGAAATTACTAAAAGAGATCACATTTTTATGAATTTTAGATATGACTTTAAAAGAATCCAATCAAATCTCATGCAAAGAGATCTTGTACCATCATTGGATGCATGTCTTAATGATTTGTTACATGAAGAACAACGTCTTCTTACAAAGTTCATTCTTGAAGAGTATTATTCATGTACATTTTCAGCAACATACATGACATGAGGTAAATCAAAAGCCTAATGTTTAGAGAATATTCAATATTTTTGTTGGAAATAATTTAGGTATTATGTATCAAGGTGTCCCAACAAATTTTACAAGTAGTACAAACAACATGAACATATTATTAAGCATTGTCCAACCGGATGACCAGGACAAACTATCACAACTTTTACAACATTAGGTGATTAATTTTGTCAACCCATTACCCAATAAAAATAATGCTTCCATTACCCTTCACACTTTGACTCCTAAAATGATTCAATAAATGACCACTTCAACATTTTCTCCAGGACTTACAAGTATTTCATCTTCACCTTAGTATTTTCATTCTTGGGCTTCCAATCACATGACCAACAATTCCCAACTCCTTAATAATATTAAAAATTATTCTGAGAATCTCAAGATACATAATATTAAAGAAAATCAATTACTTCTCACCACAACTGGTGATATTTCTTCATCTTTAACCAATGTTTTTATTTCTCTAGGCCTTACTACTAATTGATGACATATTTTGTACACATTTTTATATTCTTATTACATCTCAAGTATACTTTTTCTCTTTTATTCATTTCATTTAACATATATTTGCATTTTATATAATAAAACATATTTTTTTGTAAATATGTAATATTTTCTATATTTTATTATTGTATTGTTCAACAGTGACCTTTGTTTACTGTTTCGTTTATATCTTTTTTTTACATATGTCTGTTTTGGTTGATTCTTTTTGCATTGGATTGTACATTTTCAGGGCTATGAAATAGATAAATTATTTGTTGGATTTGAAGTTCATTGTTGTTTTTTACGATTTTTAGAAGTTCCGAAATTCATTTTTTTTTTGTATTAGCTTATTGTCGTCGCTGTCAAAAGAAGCGGTCGGAGCGACATATTATTTTGACTCGAGTTTTTAAAACTGTGGTTCAACGCCTTTAGGTTGTTCGATAACCGGGCTGGACCTAAGGGCGAGGTTTTCGAAGGGGTTCGAGGAGTCGGCACCAATGTTTTTACCAAAAACATTGGAAAAGTAAAAAGAAAGCAGTGGTGTTTTAAAAAAAACCAACTTTTGTCATCACAACCAGAGTAGGTAAGGGAGTTAGTTACGTGTAGAGAAGGTATTAGCTTCCCTACGACGCCCCTTTCGGATTTCCTATGATGGACTGTTTTTATAAAAAAATAAGAACTTTAAACTACGTTTTTACCCTTATTTATTCATTGCAAAAATTAAGTTATCGACTACATGACCCTAAATGATTAATGCACAACGATATTATCTAATAAAGCAATAAAATAAAGAAAGAAGTATGGAGGAAACTTCGAAGTAAGCTTTTATAATATGTTCTTGAAAGGGTGCTTATTGGCAAACCCCACGCTCTACAATGATGTTCGTTCTTTCTCGCAACACTTTAGAACGTTTTCTAAGAACTCTGGATATGCTTCAGAGGGGTCCTAGGAGAGTATTATGAAAATAGTACAGTAGGGAAAGTTGTTGAAGTGTGTGTAAAGAGTGAGAAAGTCTCCCCCTTTTATAGGAATTCGCACCTGTCAGGTCGGGACTGCCGTCTCGCCAAACGGGACGGTGGTCTCGTCAAACAAGACGGCGGTCTCGCCAAACATGATGGTGGTCTCGCCATTGGCGAGTGGCAAGACGACGATCTCGCCATTGGCGAGTGGCGAGACGACGATCTCGCCCTTAGCCAATGGTGAGACAACGACCTCGACCCTTTGGGTGAAATTTCTTATTTTTCTTGTACAAAATTTTTTTCTATTCTAATATGGGGCCTATTGATCAATCTTAGGGACCTTTTAGGCCTTGTCCATCTTTGAACAGAAGTCTTCTGCTCTTTATTTTGAGGTTGTGCAAGATTTGGGGTCTACACTTATCTTTTGTAATTGGACTTATAGATCTAATTAGAGCCTACATTTTTCAGATTTAAGAGCTTTTATATAGACTAAAAGTACTCTAAACTCAAATGAAAAAGATAATTTGTCTCAATTTAGGAATGTCTCTACATATTATCTTTTCTCTCTTCTTCTCTATTTTCATCTTTTACTCTTCTTATTCTTCTCTTTTTCTGGTTTGAATTGATTCAAAGTTTTTCTTCTATGGAGAACTAAATTTTGAGAATTAATTCACGAAATCAAGATCAAATAAGTCAAATTGAGTTTTGTATCGATCGTTTCTCGTTCTGAGTTTGTTCTTCTTTTTGCTAATCTCAATTTTGCATCTTGAGATTTTAATTTGTAATACTATTTTTAGAATTCAAATTAGGAATCGATTGAATCTTGATTTGATAATTAGATATAAATTATATTGAATAATATTGATATTTAATACGTATATTAAATTAATTGATTAATTGAATTCGTTAATTGTTAAAACTTGGAGTGACATTTTTAGAAAACTATTATAAGAGGATTGTTTGATTAAGAACTCATAGATTAATCTATCTTCTTTTGATTTAGATTTCTATTTTATAATTCTTGGTTTACATTTTCAAACCCCTAAATTTAATTTTTATGGGAAGATATTGAGAATTGGATATATTTTAAACTAGATTTGCACTTTATATTGCAAATTTTTACTATCATTGATTTCATGAACGATAGTGAAAATCACTAATTTTATTTCAATTGGTTAATTATTTAACAATAATTATCAAGTACAATTGTCACATTTTGGTTATCTTGTGTACGATCAACACTTTAATAAGATAATTGGGAAAATGTCTAAAGTTAGATATTTTTTTCTTATAAATTTGTCTTTATCTCCTTATTTTTCTTTATCTTTAGTTTCTTGTAATTATACTATTTTTAATTCTCAAGTGTAGCATAAACATCCTTGACACCCTACTTCAAAGTACTTCATATCATGCTCAAATATAGTTTCCTTGCTAATAAACATACTCCATCTTTTAATATTTTTAATTTTGATTGTCTTGTAAGCTTGACAAAAATAAAATTTTACTTTTTCCAAGCACATCAACATGTAAAATTTGACTAAACTAGATTTAATCTTAACCAATAAAAATTTCAAAATTGACATAAAGAAATAAAGATTCAATTAGAAAACATGTAAAATTTGACTAAACTAGATTTAATCTTAACTAATGAAAATTTCAAAATTGACATAAAGAAGTAAATATTCAATTAGAAAAATAGGAGGTGTTGTCACATGGTCATTTGACACCTAGGTAAAAGTTGAAATTGATCTCTTTTGAGAAGAAAATTTTTGTCACTAATTTTATTTGTGCCTTGTTATAATTCTTTATCATTTAATCTAGTGTCATATTACCTTGATTGCTTTTGTTTTGGTTTATATTGAACTAAAACAAAACTTTGCTTATTTTTTTTGGTGTTTTTCTATCAAAGAAAGTTTTGGAAATCGAAACTACTTTTCTCTTCACAAGAGAGTATCAACCAAATGACCGCCAAAGACACTTAAATAAGGTTAATAAACTAAAGTTCATTAATAAAACTCAATCAAAATAATATAAATAGACATGGATTCTAAGATATAACTATTTTATATTGTTTATACCCTTACCTAATTTGAGTGTCAAAGTATTTTTTTTAAATATATCGATTATATTTTAAAGAAGTATATACATCAACAACCTCATGTATGAAGATCTACTAAAGTTAGCGACTATCATAGTAGAATATCTATCATAGTAGAATTCGATATTGTAGGAGACTTTAGTCATACAAAAATAAGTTTGGTGCTTTATCATCAAACGCCTTACAATTGCTTTCCTTATTAATAATACACTTCTTAACTTCTTTGTCCTTTTTCTTGTTAGTTTTCTTTTTAAAAAGTTACTAGATTGTATAATTGTTCTTAACTTGATATACTATGTTTTAAACTTGTGATCGATCGTCCAAATTGCACATTATGTTTGTATTAGGACATTAGAACCAAGTTATGTTTAAGAACAAAATTGCACATCATGCTTATATTAGCCCGTTTAGACCGCACTAATAATGAGGCAGTTAGAGAAGCAGAGAAGAAGAAAGTGGACAATGGAATCAAAGGCCAAGATGAAAGGTTCAGCTGTAGACGAGGTTCTTGAAACCCTAGGAGACTTCACGATCAAAGAGAACTGGGACAAGTTCTTCACTCTCCACACCGATTCCTTCGAGTGGTACGCAGAGTGGCCCCACCTCCAAGACCCTCTGCTCTCCCTCCTCAGCACCCTCGCCCATCCTCTCCCCCTCCCCCTCCTCATCCCCGCCTGCGGCAACTCCCAACTCTCCGAGCACCTCTACGACGCTGGCCACACCTCCATCATCAATGTCGACTTTTCCAAGGTCGTCATCTCCGACATGCTCCGCCGCAACGTCCGAGACCGCCCGCTCATGCGCTGGCGCGTCATGGATATCACCGCCATGCAGGTCCCTCCCCGCCCGCTCTCTTCGTGTTGCTGCTCTCTGTGGCTCCTTTTTTTCTTTATCGGTTTTCCTTTTGGATGGTGCAGTTTAAGGACGAGAGCTTCATTGCCGTTATTGATAAAGGTGGATTAGATGCTTTGATGGAGCCCAAGGTTGGCCCCAAATTGGGGAACCAGTACCTATCTGAGGTAGTTTATCTATTTGTTTTAATCTATTAGCACTTTCAAGGGAAGAAAATAAGAATGTGAAATGAATCGGCTTTTCCCTAAAGCATATAAGTTTTTGGAGAAGTTGGATGAGAGAAATTAAAAGTTGAACTGCAACTTTTAAGATAGGAAAATAAGAATGTAAAATGAATTAGCCTTTCCCTAAAGGCACATTAGTTTTTGGAGAATCTGGATGGGAGGACACTTTCAATGAAATTTTCCTTGCTAATGGAGAACTGTATACAAACATAGCCTAAATAATTGATTTTATGGATTGATTATTTTGTGTTTTTGGTAACTTAGTGTTCTTTTAAAAATATTGTCAGGTGAAGAGAGTTTTAAAGCCTGGGGGCAAGTTTGTGTGCCTCACCTTGGCTGAATCTCATGTACTAAGTAAGTTTCTTTTATAAAATTTTACCATGAAAAATTAATGAAAAACACGTGATATGTAGATAATATAATCGAAGATACTAACAACTTGTGATGGTGTTTCTTTGAATGGTTTTGTAGTGCTTGTTTCTATAGCAGAAGTGTTGTTTTCCTTTAATAAAAGTCTGAAGCTGCGTCTTCCATTAATTGAATCTGGATAGGGTTTAGTGCTAGTATTGAGTTTGTTCTTATTACAAGTACCATTCAACTCATTCTTATCATAGGAAACGACATATGTCCAGCTTGTTAACAATATCAACCTGACTTTCTTTTCCTATTTTTTTCTTTATATTGGATGTCAGGTAGCCCTGAATTCCACTTTCTTTGTGTGTAAGCCACATTAGTTCTTCGTGAAAGATATATGGAACAGTGTTGATGTGTGGTACCTACATTCTAAACTTTCCTCTATGTATTAGAATAAGAATCCTGGCTGAATGATGCTTGGTAGAAGGTTGCATGGCCACTTCCTAAATTCCTTAGAATATGCTAAACTCCTAAACTGTTTAGCACAAAGCCCTTCCTATCTCCTGTATGACTTGCTATAAAAGAAACATGCTATCATGAGTAGAGGCTATGCTGTTGTTATCTTAGTTTCTGTTTCAATCGATTGTATCAGACTGCTTTGTTACAGTGCATTGCAATGAAATAATTTGTTGTAACTATTTTTTCATGCTATCTTTTTCATTTTTTGGCATGCTTAGTCTTGTATAACTGGAGGGTAAATATCATTAATTTGCAATGTCCAGATCTACTTTTCTCAAAGTTCCGACTTGGGTGGAAAATGAGTGTTGATGCCATACCTTTAAAGTCTTCTAGTAAACCTAGCCTTCAAACGTTTATGGTCGTTGTGGAGAAGGAGCTGTCTACATTAGTGCACCAGATTACATCATTGCTCCTTAATTCTTCGCTTGATTGTAATTCAAAACAGGTAGAATTTCTGCACTATTTCTACGTTTTGCTCAGTTCTCATGGGCTTTAGAGCTTTCTTAAAATGAGGATTTATTGATGATTAATGTTACAGCTGTTATTAGTGGTTTATATAATATTACTGTTGGGTGTTAAATGTTATGGTTGTAGAGACGGGGTAGTTATTTTGTTGAAATTGTAAGGTTTATATGGAATTGATTTGATGCTCGCAAGATACGAAGTACTAATGCATAGTTGTTCAGGGAATTAGTTCACTTATTAAATACTGCTAATACAAAGTCCAAACCACTAAATAAAAAGATTTCTAACCCAAAACACATCAGTAAAATATATTAGGAAATACAATAAAATTGGGGACAACACCTAAGGTTGCTGCTCAATTAGAGTTTAGATGACCAATTAATTCTGTAATATATGCATGATATTTTAAAAATACTCTGGAGGTTTTCTAAGATGTTTTGTAGATGCTCTATTTCTAACTTTTTTTATTTTCCATTTCCATTTCTGCTTTTTTTTTTCATTTGTGCAAGGTTTCTGGACTCAATGAAGCTCTTCGAAAAGAGAATCAAATTCGTGAGAAGTACTCTGGTGACTCTGAGATATTATATTCTGTGGAAGATATGCAAGAGGAGCTGCTCAAGCTTTCTCAAGGTCGGCGATTGCAGCTAACTTTGGGTGGGGAAGGGAAATCTACTTTTTCTTATAGAGCTGTAATTCTTGATGCTGAGGAACAGGCTGACCCTTTTACATATCACTGTGGGGTTTTCATTGTGCCTAAGGTGTGTTTTAGCAAGGATCTCTTTTACATTTTTGTTCATGCATCACTTGTAAATTCATATTCAGCTAAAAAAATGCTATATTTCATGAATTTCTGAATGAATCAGTGATCCTTCTCTAGATTCATGCATAGTTGTTTTAAAAAATGAATATATAGGAAATTGAAATTGTTATTATTTGAAGGTAAGAACCATTGCTAATTTGTAACTAGGATCTGCTGCTGACAAGGCTTTTTGAAACTAGGAAGGAGGAATGGACTACTAGATAGTTGTTATTTTCAATTTTTCTAAAAGATATATATATATATATATATATATATATTTTTTTTTTTTGTTTCTATTCTTAGAGGTCTCAACCTTGTTCATACTGACAATGATCAAAGTGTAATAATTTTGTTTTCTAGTACTTGTTTATTACAGATATAGGGATACTGGTTTGTTAATTGGCAGATAGGAGTTTCTAGTATTTCTTAGGTTCTCTTTTTTTCATTTAATTTGATTTATTATTTTGATTACATGGTGCATTGATATGCATTTATAGAGGTGATTCCTCAGGATGTCAGACTTCTTTTATATCTATCTTCTGTTTGCACTTAAGGATTCAAATTATGAAGTTATTCTCTTTGAGTTTCATGACTGAATGTAAAATCTCAGGCTCGGGCGCGGGAATGGCTTTTCTATTCTGAAGAAGGACAGTGGATGGTTGTCAAAAGCTCCAAAGCAGCTCGCCTCATAATGGTACCATGCTATTAATAAAATTACAATTTGCTGGTATTTTTGAGTATATCACATTACTTTTGCCATTGAAGCTTACTAGCTAATCGGTGACTTTAGGTTTTTTTGGATGCCAGCCATTCGGATACCAGCATGGAGAATATTCAGGTAGAAACATCCTCTTAAGTTATGCTTCATGGACATGACATTTTAACTAAGCTGTTTTTTACAGAATTGTGTTTGTTATCCCTTTCCAGAAGGATCTGTCTCCGTTGGTTGCACCATTGGCACCAGCAGAAAATGACGATGGAGCTCAAATACCGTCTGTCTTGTACCAGTTTCACTTTTGTGATTTTTCATTTATTTATATAAATGCTTAACACAAATTTTTATTTATTTTTCCTGTTTTTCTATTGATGCCAAAGTATTCAAACATGTTCTATTATGCACTACAGCAGTTACTATACTTTTAGCATGTTTGGTTCAGATTAATCCGGTGGAAGTAATTGTTTATTTTTGTCAAAATCTCTCTCAAGAAGTTAGCTAGCATAAGCTATTGTTTCTTCAAATAAGCTATCATTTCTCACAAATTCTTGAATACATGCCTACAGTTTCATGATGGCAAGTGAGGGGCTCAAGGAAAGATACATCATTCACAAGGTTAGCAACAGTAAACAAAATGCTGTGTCTGTTTTGTTATTTTTGAATTTGTTCTTGTGAACTGTTTCTGTCTAAGAAGGCTGTGAAATTATCTTAGTACTTGAAATAGAAAAAAGAAAATAAAGAACTGATTTTGAGAGCCTGCAATCATCTTCTTGTGTTCTCTTATTTATAGGAGATAAAAATACAGATTCAGAGATACAATTAATAGAGAGACATGATTAATCCTAGAGAAGATAAACAGATGCATTCTAGGAACTAGGTCTACAACTAATCTCATAAATGTCCAACAAGATACACTTAATCTAATAATTACTTCAACACTCCCCCTCAAGCTGGAGCATACAAATTGAATGTACCAAGCTTGGAACAAATGAATTCCATTCGAGGTCCTCTCAAAGATTTTGTTAATGCATCTGCAAGCTGCTCATTGGAACCAACAAACTCAGTACAAATTTCTTTAGTCAACAACTTCTCCCGAATAAAATGACAGTCAATCTCAATATGCTTAGTCCTCTCATGAAATACTGGGTTGGAAGCGATGTGAAGAGCAGCTTGATTATCACAATACATCTTCATAGATTGAATCTCACAGAAGTTCAATTCTTGCAAGAATTGTTTTACCCAAACAAGTTCACAAGTAAGAGACGCCATTGCCCTATATTCAGCTTCAACAGAGGATCGGGCAACAACGTTTTGCTTTTTGCTTTTCCATGAAATGATATTTTCTCCAATGAAAACACAATAGCCTGTAGTGGAACGCCTATCCATAGGAGATCCAGCCCAGTCAGGATCACAGTACCCAAAAATTTGGGTATTTCCCTTATCTTCATATAATAATCCTTGTCCTGGAGCTTTTTTAATGTATCTTAAGATTCGAATGATAGCATTCCAATGATCCACACAAGGAGCTTGCATAAATTGGTCGACAACACCAACTCGCAAAAGACAAATCGAGTCTAGTAATCGTCAAATAAATAAGTTTCCCAACCAGTCTTCTATATCTTTCCGGGTCGAGAAAACTTCACCCTGTACTCGCCATTAACTTCAAATTTGGATCCATAGGACTCGTCCACAGGTTTGCAATCAATCATACCTGTCTCTTTTAGAATATCTAGAGCATACTTCCTTTGAGAGATGACAATACCTTCACTTGATTGAGCTACTTCAATACCCAAGAAATATTTTAGATTTCCAAGATCCTTGGTTTGAAAATGACTACACAAGTGCTCTTTTAGCTGAGATATTTTAGCAAGCATCATTCCCTGTGATGACAATATCATCAACGTACACAATTAAATAAACATGTTTGCCAGGGCGGTGTGACAATAAAACACTCGAATGATCTGCTCGCTGCGTTTTAATCCAAAAGCTTGAACAATAGAGCTGAATTTTCCAAACCAAGCACGTGGAGATTGTTTTAGGCCATAGAGGGATCGACGTAATTTACAAACCAAACCGAGACTCCCCCGAGCAACAAATCCAGGAGGTTGCTCCATGTAAACTTCTTCTTCTAAGTCACCGTGCAAAAAAGCATTTTTAATATCTAATTGATGAAGAGGCCAATGACGAATGGCGGCCATGGCAAGGAACAGGCGGACAATGGTCATTTTGGCTACTGGAGAAAAAGTATCACAATAATCAAGTCCATATATCTGAGAATACCCTTTAGTCACTAACCTTGCTTTAAGACGATCAACCTGACCATTGGGCCCAACTTTAATAGCATAGATCCAACGACAACCAACTGTTTTCTTTCCTGAAGGGAGAGGAACAAGCTCCCATGTTTTGCTGTGATCAAGAGCTTGCATTTCAGAAATCATGGCTTGTCGCCATCCAGGATGATCAAGTGCTTCGACCACATTTTTGGGAATTGTAATAGAGGAGACCGAGGAAATAAGAGAACAATAGGAAGGAGACAATCTATGATAACTAAGAAAATTGTAAATGGGATGAGGATTACGAGTAGAACGAGTACCTTTGCGAATGGCAATGGGCCAACTGGAGTTATCGTTATCAGGAGCCGTGGTATTAGAGGATGATGGTGAAGGACCTGTTATGGATGGCTCATCTTGGGGAATGGGATTGTTCACCTGGTTCCTGCGTTGATAGGTGATGATAGGCTGTGATGCTGATTCTAGAGTATTTTGGTTGGGATTTGGGGTGTCAGGAATAGGAGGTACAACTGATTCAACTAAGGGAACATGAAACACATTTTGGACAGAATCAATATCCTGCATAGAATAAGGGAAGAAGGATGATGATTCAAAAAAGGTGACATTAGCAGACATGTAGTACCTCTTGGTTTCAGGAGAATAGCACCGATATCCTTTTTGAAGACGAGAATACCCCAAGAAGACACATTTGATAGCTCTAGGTAAGAGTTTATCTAAGCCAGGAGACATGTCATGAACAAAACATATACATCCAAATACCCTAGGAGAAACATGAAAAATTGGTTCCTTTGGAAATAGAATAGAGTGTGGAACTTTATTATCAAGAGAAGAAGATGACATTCTATTAATGAGAAAGCATGCAGTTAGAATAACATCTCCCCAATGATGAATAGGCATATTGGCACCCAGCAATAAGGTACGAGCAGTTTCAACCAAATGTTTATTTTTTCGTTCTGCTATACCATTTCTGCTGTGGTGTGTGAGGACACGTGGACTGGTGTAAAATGCCTTGAGAGTTTAGGACATTAGAAAAATCATTAGAAAAGTACTCTTTAGCATTATCACTTCGTAAAACTTTGATTACTTTTCCAAATTGAGTTTTGATTTCATTAAGGAAAGACTTAAAGATAGGCAATAGTTCAGAACGATCTTTCATAAGATAAACCCAAGTACATCTAGAAAACCCATCAATAAAAGTAACAAAATATCTAAAACCAAAAGATGAAACACGACTAGGTCCCCATATATCTGAATGAACAATACTAAAAGCAGAATCACATCTATATTCAGAATGATTTGGAAAGGATGACCTGGTATGTTTCCCTAGTTGACAGGATTCACATTCAAGAGTTTGAAGGTTCTGAAGTTCAGGAACCATTTTTTTCAATTTTGCTAAATGAGGATGCCCTAATCGCTCATGTAACAGTTTTGGGGATAAGGACGCAACACAAGATACAGATGACTTAGTCCTAAGGTAGTATAAGCCTCCAGATTCACGTCCTTCTCCAATCAGTCGACCCGTACCATGTTCCTGGATAACAAAACAATTGGCATTAAAGGTTACTGAGCAATTCAATGATTTGGTTAATTGGCTTACAGAAACAAGACTGAATGGAAAAGAAGGAACACAGAACATTTTGAAGGTTTAAAGAAGAAGGGATGGATACTTGACCAATTCCTTTAGAGGCTACTTTAGATCCATTAGCTAAAGATATGAGATGGGATGTTTTAGGAAATGAAAGAGAGGAAAATAAAGAGGTATTACCAGACATGTGGTTAGAAGTACCTGAGTCAATAATCCATGGATTTTGACTTTCCACAGATTGCGAAATGCAAGTGGTTGACGAATTTGGTGTTGTAGATGCTTGAGCCAAATTGGTTGATTTCATCCTTAAATATTCTTGATACTCTTCATGAGAGAACTTGAGCTCATCAACTTCAGATTTTGAGGTATTAGCTGCCTTATCAGGAAAGCCGTGCAGAGCAAAACAATTTTCCTTAGTATGACCCATTCTTTTGCAATGAGAGCACTGAGGACGTCCTTTCCCACCACGTCCTCTAGAGTTGTGATTACCTCTTTCACGAGCAGAAATCATGGCGGAAGAATCAGCAAGTTCCTTACTGTTTTTGCTTTTGATAGAAGGAACACGAAGTAGCCTTGTGATTAAACTCTCCGTAGAAGGAACTTCTTCTCCAGTTAGAATCTGGTCTCTAACATGATTAAACTCTGGATTCATAGCCCTAAGAATCATTACCATATAGAATTTATCCAGCTTCGTCTTCCTTTCTTCTAATGATTCTGCCTCCAGGAACATTTTTAATTCTTCAACAGCTGACTGAGCTTCAGCAACAAAGGACATCATGGAATTATCCTCTTGCTTAAGGGAGACTAGTCTATTAGCAGAATCATAAAGTCGTTGAATATTGTTAGCAAAGATATTTTGAGCCTTTTTCCAAAAAGAATTACATGTCTTGAAGGCTCGAAGAGTGCTCAAAATATGTGGTTCAACAGATTGCCATAATAGTGCACAAAGTTGATAATCTAGTTTCTTCCATTGAGGAGCCTGATCTGCTGGTATAGTACTTCCATCTTCTTCTAGATGATCATGAACTCCTTGACCTAGAAACCAGAGCTCAACAGAGGAAGCCCAAGACAAATAATTTTTTCCATTTAATTTTTCTGTGGTTATAGTCGGAGTCCCAGAAAAAGATACAGACACAGGTCCTGACATTTTACAGGAAACACGAAAAGACTAGCGTGCTGTCAGAGAGAGGACCGAGAGAGGCAGAGAGAAAAACGCAGATCCACCACGTTTTGTGACCGAGAACACAAAATAAAGTACAGATCTGGCACCAGGGCGATGAGGCGAGCCGAATAGAGGTGGTCTGGAGCAAAACAACCACCGAGAGGGCGGCGCGTGAGGCCCACGCGCGGAGGAAGCCACGGACGAGGGTGGCGCGTGAGGCAGAGATAGAGGAAGCGAACACTGGGGTTGGGTCGCGCTCCTCGAGGCGAGCCAAACCCAAGTGTCAGAGAGGAAAAAGGCGCCGGAGAAGACAGCACCGGCGGCGAACGGCGGCGGACGGCGGTGAACGGCGATTAATGCCAGAAAAAAAAAACAGAGACAGGCAGAGCGGGATGAACCCGCTCTGATACCAACTTGAAATAGAAAAAAGAAAATAAAGAACTGATTTTGAGAGCCTGCAATCATCTTCTTGTGTTCTCTTATTTATAGGAGATAAAAATACAGATTCAGAGATACAATTAATAGAAAGACATGATTAATCCTAGAGAAGATAAACAGATGCATTCTAGGAACTAGGTCTACAACTAATCTCATAAATGTCCAACAAGATACACTTAATCTAATAAATACTTCAACATTAGTATTCTGTAAGGAACATCATTCTTAACTTCTTACAAAGCCTCTTTTTATAGTGTTCAGTCCTTGGTTTCATTGGTCATTAGAGGGAGTTGACCTCTACTGGGCTCATTTCTTAATGTTATGAAAACAGGTCTCTGCAAATGCTATTATTTGAGATAACCTGAAAAGAAATGTAAAGAGAAATATAACTGAGAATGGAATAGCCTTGTATAGGCTTTAAGATCTCTACTTACAAACTAACACAGATACATTCTGTTATACAGTAATAATAGAAATAATACCAAGTTTACTTCCTAACAGAACAAAATTAATATTTTTATTTTTCTTTCTAACCAAACCCATTAGGAGAAACAAAAGTGCAGAAAATCACGGCAAACCACACCTGTGCCAACAATAGTCAGATACAATGCAAATAGCTAACACTATCCCACCCAGAAAAAAACCGAAGTTCACAAACTATAAACTGACAAATCCTCCCTTAAAATATGAAAAAAATTTGAAATCTATATTCTTGATAAACTCCAAAACATAAGCCATGTTTTACTTAAATTGCAAGCAACCCAAGGACTATCATAAAAATAATTTCACAGTAAGTAAATAATCAGGCTTAAACAAAGAGTTCTCTATCCTTTTTATTTAGTCATCTCAATAGCATGCTTAACTCTCATACTTCCCCTTTGATTTAAATGCCCATCTTTGGGGAACAAGGAGATATTATTTTTATAAGAAATCCTGCAAAAATCTCATCAAAATTCGATCTCTAGGTCCATTTTTTGGAGCTCTGTTTCACATGCTGACTGCACATGTAGAGATATTGTGAAACATGTTAAGGTTCCAACATAAAACCAATTGGCAATATGTGGAGTAGCCTAACATGTATTTAAACCATACCAAATTATATGAGGTAGGCGATGTGGGACTTTCAACACACCCCCTCCAACGAAGTCCGCCGGACCAGACAAAGGGTACTTTTGACCCAACTAAAGGGCAAGTTTTGGCCCATGACAATAACCGGAAAGATGTTAGGCTTTTGGCTCTGATACCATGTTAAGGTTCTAACATAAAACCAATTGGCAATATGTGGAGTAGCCTAACATGTATTTAAACCATACCAAATTATATGAGGTAGGTGATGTGGCACTTTCAACAAAACAGTCCATAAATTCAACTTTTGAATTTCTTAAGATACTACCACTGGATGATTTATGTTCATAATCAGAATATGTTCATTTTTTTGTGATTCTTCTTACATTTTAGATGGATGCTCATTCTTGTAATGACTTGCTTGATTTAAAATGATCCCCGCATACTCATTATATTTATGATTATGTGTGGTTTGCATTAGGCTTTTGGCTCTGATACCATGTTAAGGTTCTAACATAAAACCAATTGGCAATATGTGGAGTAGCCTAACATGTATTTAAACCATACCAAATTATATGAGGTAGGTGATGTGGCACTTTCAACAAAACAGTCCATAAATTCAACTTTTGAATTTCTTAAGATACTACCACTGGATGATTTATGTTCATAATCAGAATATGTTCATTTTTTTATGATTCTTCTTACATTTTAGATGGATGCTCATTCTTGTAATGACTTGCTTGATTTAAAATGATCCCCGCATACTCATTATATTTATGATTATGTGTGGTTTGCAGGTCACATCTCCGTTAACTGGATCAATTATTGTTGAAGATGTCATTCATGAAAATGTTGATAGTGAAGTCAGTTGCATTTTTCCTACTAGAGAGTTGGTCTTTCGACGCCTTATATTTGAGAGGGCTGCAAATTTGGTGCAGTCTGAAGCTCTTCTAAAAGATGAACAGCTGTCTACCAAATTGGTTAGTGAGACAGGGAGGAGGAAAAATGCATCTCCCAAATCTAGAAAAAGTGCATCTCAGAGACACAGTGTTGGTAATTATTTGCCTCTTGCTCTGGTGTATTTAAACTGTTCAATGTTCATTAGCAGTTCATGTAAGTGTTGCTTCTAAATTATTCATGAATCCCAAGTTTGTTAATATATGTTGTATAAGTGTCCATTTATTTTATATATCAGTATATATATATATATTTTTAAAGTTAACACAATTAGACATCACTATGAACCTATGACATCCCAACAAAGCTGTCATCCTATTTAGCCCATCAATCATATGCCCTATGTCAAGACATATAAAAAAGAAAATAGGTACAAAATCATGGGGGGACCAAAACCCATAAAGAACTTGTAATGGATGAATGCACGTAATTGAGCAGTAATAAAATGATATGAAATATTACTGTTTATTTAATATTGGCAATTCAACTATTAGTAAAAGAGAAATCATACACTTTAGCATTGACAAAAGCCTGACAAAAGCATATCAGAGAATATCTGAGAGAAGAAGACACCTCATACATATTGTCTCTTACGATTGAGCCTGCAATCCCATGTATAACTAATTCTCCCACACCCAATCACTGAGTTGTATACTTGATATCCGAATCCTTTACCTCTCTGTTCCTTTGGTACCTCCTCGTCTGTTTTAACTACCTCCACGTTTTTTTTTTGTTAACGCCACTCATATTTGTTGATTCACCTTTTTCTTGATTACTGCCAACTGACAGTTTTATTACAGAACAATTAACAAAATTTAATTTCTCGTAAGCCTAACCTATTCCTAGAAATAAGATCTTTTAACATTCTTAGGAAGAGATTCAACCAAAAAAAAATATGCCTAGCTTCAATACCTAAGTCACAATTTTATCAGCACATTGGTAGAATTGGTTTGAACCTGTTGAAAGTCCCACATCGCCTACCTCATATCATTTGGTATGGTTTAAATACATGTTAGGCTACTCCACGTATTGCCAATTGGTTTTATGTTGAAATCTTAACATGGTATCAGAGCCAAAGCCTAACATCTTTCCGGTTATTGTCATGGGCTAAAAGTTGCCCTTTAGTTGGGTCAAAAGTACCCTTTGCCTGGTCCAGCAGGCTTCGTTGGAGGGGGTGTGTTGAAAGTCCCACATCGCCTACCTCATATCATTTGGTATGGTTTAAATACATGTTAGGCTACTCCACGTATTGCCAATTGGTTTTATGTTGAAATCTTAACAGAACCATTCAACATGATTGAGATGTGTGGCCAAATTAATCTTAGCCATAGATTTTACATTGGAATATGTTTATGGAATGTAAAATTGATTTTTTATGTAAATTTAACGAGGCCTAAGACCTTTCACTTGTTTTTTTTGTTCTATAAAAAGTTGTGGACAGTGTTTTGTTTTATCTATTTGGTTCTGCATACTTCCTTGCTTTGCATTAATTGACCCTGATTACTGGACAAAACTTTTAGTGCTGAATTCGTCTCTTCCATAACAATGTGAATCTGATGAGAGGTCTTCTGAAAATTAGTTATTAAACCATCAACAGATATGTTAGTAAAAATACAATAATGTCATTATTCTGACCTTGGGCATCTTTGGTCGAACTTTTCCATAAACACTTTTTGAAGATAAAAATACGAAGAAAAAATGAAATTGACTTTTCCATAAATTGGAATTAGCTAATGCACAAGTTATGATGGAGAAACTATATGAAAGAGTTTATACAAATTAGTTTTTGCATAAACCAATCCCAGCGGAATTTGTCTGGGACACTTCTCTCCCATACCCACCTTCTTCTCCTACGAAGGCAATAGATTCCAGTGTTGCTTCTATGGTGCTACCGGTGAACAGTCTATGAAGAGAATGCGATTAGAAAGGAAACTTTTCTGAAAGATGGTGGATCGGTGGTGGCTGATAGGATAAAGAAGACTAGAATTTCTCACTTTTGTTTTTTGGGGTCAGAGTGGGTGTGGCTTTTTGGGTCAGACTTTTCAGTAGGTATTAGGGTTGCACCTTAGATTAGCTACGGACCAATCCATATATTACTAATCATATATAAACACTATTTTTGTGAGGGAGTTTTTTTTTTTTTTTTTTTTTTTTTTTCACAATTAATTATATTTTATCTTAATTTTTGGATATTTGTGGGTGTGACAGTGACCCGATGGTTAGTGGCATGATAGATTCTACAAATCTTGCTAGGATATGCTTTGATATCATATAAGAAAGTGAATTTTAGGCTTAATTCAATCTCACAAAACTAGTTAAAGGGTGAGTTTTGCATCCACTTATATACATTGTTTCTGTTCAACATATTCGAATATTTCTAATGTTGAAAAATTATTTTGAATGAAAATGATACGTTAAAAATGGTTTAACAGCACTATTAAAGAGAGGAGTTTTTAGTTTCAAAACTGTTCCTGTTTTAGTTTGCAATATTTGCTTTTGTTTAGAACTCTTGCCGGTGTAATTTTTTTCCTGATGTTGCAGGAGCAAGTAGGCAGTTGACAGTCGATCATGGCTATGTAGCCAGTTCTTATCATACAGGAATTATATCTGGATTCACTTTAATATCTTCTTTCATGGAAAATATGGCATCGAGTGGGAAAATGGCAAGTATTTCTGGCTTTTATTTAGGAAATTGCAATAAAGGAATTTCTGGTTCTCAATAAAATATTTCCACTTTAGAAACAACTTAATCATTCAACTGGTTGGTGATATATTTAATGAGTAGTTGATGATTATTAGAGTAACTGTTATCTAATTATTTATATTTCAAGAACCTTTTTATGCCGCAATCTCTGTTTTATCTTCAATTTTTAAGGATTTGTTTTTTAGATTAAACCCTCAAACTGTTCCATAAAATTGTAAGCTATAATCACTGTAGTCCCGACTATGTAGAAAGCCATTCTCTTTAGTGACGTTATTTACAACAATCTTAATGATTGAAGTGAGTGACTTTTGTGGGTGGAAGATTAGTGTTGGAATAAATATATAAGTATCAATTTCTTGGTGCATATCTGAAGTAGATGGGATCGTTTGATAGATAAAGTTGATGACATTGGCTATCTTGATGCTGATTAGGCCCTTTTCACTGTCTGAGAGAAGATTGATTTGAGGATATTTTGTCTTGTTTGGAGTGAAAACTTATGTATGACATGACAAATGATCTTGTGATGTGATGCGATGCATGAATCTAATGTTTCCTAGTTACAATAAGTACTGTTGTTTCCAGTAATTGGTTACTGTAAATACATGCCAAATTAACCTGTTTTACATTCTTTACAAGTTTACATGCTCTAAAACATTTTTCCATTCATTATTGCTGATATATTCAATCGGCATATCTTAGGTAAAAGCAGTAATAATAGGTCTTGGAGCAGGTTTACTTCCCATGTTTCTTCACGGGTGTATCCCCTTTTTAGAAATTGAGGTAATATGTTTTCACTGTTGTATAGGAAGGGAAATAATTTAGAGTTCAGATCTTGTCCCTAATAGTTTATTCTTCTGAATGATTAATATCACATGGTTTGATAACAATTTTTATACAGATCGTGGAGTTAGACCCTGTGATTGTTGATATTGCAAAGGAATACTTCAGTTTTGTTGAGGATAAACGCTTGAAGGTAGTTAAATATCATTGATGTCTTTCTCTTGAGGTGTTGTGGAACTTAGAATGTAAATTAGAACTAGCCAAAGTAAAGGCATAATGCTAAATTACTTTGAAGGAAATGTCCACACGAAACAGTAAATATTTTTAAGAAAAGATTATCCATCCCTACATTAATCATAAATGTTGATTCTTACAATTAGTTTTGATTTCATGATTATTTATTTGCTGTTTTAGACAGCAGTTAAAAATATTAGTGTATGTAAAAATGTGGCAACCATGGACTAAACAACAGTTTTTATTTGTTGAGGGGGAGGGGGCAGGGTTACTGTGTCGAAAATACTAAGAACCATGATATTTAAGAATTTGTTGAATTAATCTCATGATTGAAGATAACAACATTGGTTATTGAATCTCCTTACTTTGGGGAATCCAGGTGCATGTAGCTGATGGGATCGAGTTTGTCCAAGAGATTGAAAGTTCTGCAGTAGCTCAGATTCATGGAAAGTGTATTGACCCTACTCACCATACAGAATCTCCTTCGAATGAAAGTTCAACTGTCTGTCATGATGGTGAAGAAGTGCCAAAAGTTGATATTATTATTGTTGATGTTGACTCTTCAGACCAAAGGTGAATTGAATAATGCATTTGGTTATTACATTAGAATATCAAAGAATGGCCAGGAAAAATGGTATTAGTCTGTTATCGGATTAGAAATAATATCTTCTATGATTTTGAAGATTCTGCTTATATTTTACAGCTCTGGATTGACATGCCCTGCTCCAGATTTTTTGGATGATTCTTTTCTTGAGACTGTAAAAGATAAGCTTTCGGACAATGGTCTCTTTGTAGTCAATTTGGTGTCAAGGTCCCGAGCCATTAAGGATATGGCTCTATCAAAAATGAAAAAGGTAAAAACAAATGATTGCAACAATATTATTCGGTTTGGACTTTGATTGTTGATATCTGGTTCTGTAATTTATTTGATTATATATTTATTATTAGCGTCTTTACAAGCACATCTATTTTTTTCCCTCTCTTCCTTTAGACAACTAAAATGAAGTTCTTTAGGTGCTTTTGGTATTTTCACATTGGAAATTTATGTTGACCATTTGACCTTTGATGCAAATCTTTTTTATGTGAATTTCCTTGGTAAAACTTCAATTATAATGGGAGAGCAATACTAAAAGCATAAAAAGTTTCATTTTTTTTTTTGTCTTGTGAGACGCAAAATTTACCCTATAATGGCCAAAGGTTAGGTTGAGTAGGACTACGTGGAAGATCTACTGGAATCTGTGTGTGAGAAGGTAGCGTGAATAAACATGAAAGTCCCAAGAGGCCAAGGAAACATTACCATCCAAAGCAAACCTAGAAAGCAGAGCATATCTTTTCTTTTGAAGCTGTTATCTCCAATTAATGACACCAAATGATAGCAAACACTAAGCACAATCAACGCACTTTGACAAAATCACTCACCTTATTCTTGCTAAAACCAGTGAAATTCTCAAAGACAAGTACTCCAAATTTTGAGGCTCTAACCTATAGTTATTAAAAATCCTCCCAAATATAAGTAGTTGATAGGGAAAAGTAGAAATGATTATGATTGTTAGTTGCTTCTGAATTTGTAACATGTTAATAGACACTGGGAGACAGTTTTGTTAGGTCTAACATTATGCAACGCTGCATAATTCTAATTTTCAAATCAATATTTTGTGGGGGTAGAGAGAGGGTACAAAATGGAGATTTTAGGAAAAGTTATAATTGGTGCAGCTCACTTACAAAACATCTATAGTATTTTCAGTGATTATTTCTATCACTTTAGAAGTTGTTGTGCTCTTGTTTGCATAAATACCCTAAATCTTGTTACAAAAAAGAAAATTGACTCACCTTTTATTGGGGAATTGAGTTGTAATCCCTTGATATAGATTCATAGGCGCTGAGGTAAATTCTCTTGCAGTTCCTATTATTCTGACGAATTCAATCTGGTATTCCAGTATATTTTCTTGTGAAATGGCAATACCTGTTATTAACTTAACAACTGTAGTCCCAGTATAGCACCAGTTGGCCTAGTCTTCAGATTGAAAATGTTAATATACAGCTATTTGAAAGCTTTCATGCTTATATCTTGTATTAATGATATCATGTGCTACAGAGCGCTCTCTTTTTTTTAGGCTATATTGCTTAATTTGTGCAACTCTGTTATGCTGTAACATAACTGGCATTTTTGGGAGTTGATGTTGCTGAATATGTTTTGTCGAAATCCACTTCTTGACTTGGTGGCTGTTATTATTTACACAATATTTGTTTTGTAATTATATTACACTTTCTTAGCTATTTGACCCCAAAGTGTGAGAATATGTTTGTGTTCTGATACATTTTAACAGTCTCTTATCATTTATGAGGCAAAGTCAAAAGTAGTTTATAATAACTCTCCTCCTTTAAACAATCAATACTTCTTTTTAGGATGAAATCATGAGGAATGGATAATACTTTGAATGTAGTGACCTTAGTGATTCCGGCAACCTGAGGTCAGAACATTGGTGCATTGATGGTCGACCTAGGCCGCTCCAACTTGATTGGGGGACTTGTTCTAATAATATCTAAAAATCTTAAATTGTTTTAGAGTAGAGGTCAAGAGTACTTTATGAACATCCTTATCTCTTAACCTACAGGTGTGTAACCATGATAGAGTCACTTAACTCAAATGAATAATATCACCTAACTCTTAGGATGTTAGGAAGTGGCATAAGGTCGAAACATAGTTTGTATGTTTTCATTTCTCAAATTTTTATTTATGTCTTTCATACATAATTCGATTTGTAATTCTGAAAATTGGCTTTCTGATCTTATCTTGGTTTAACTACCTTTATCGCACTAATACGATGGACCTACGGTATACCTATAGGTATTAATCTTGTATTTGGGTAGTAGGATGGCCTCTATCTTAAAGATTACAAATAACTGTTTCTGTATTATAAATATTATCGAAAATGTTAGCCTATTCTATCTGGTCTAATATTTCACTTGCTTACTAAGAAACAGTTTTAGGTAGTTGATTATTTCCCCTACATGTTGTTGAGTATGCAAATATTTATTCTGTATTGATTGTGGAAAGAATCTTATCTGAAAGCAAGGTTTTACTCTGTTTAGAGTCTATTATTCTGTAATATCACTGTTTTATTTCTATTGTCTTTACATAGGTTTTCAGCCACGTCTACTGCCTCCAGCTTGATGACGACGTAAATGACGTTCATTTTGCCCTCAAATCTGAGTCCTGCATCGAGGATAACTCTTTCCATGAAGCTTCTGTTAGACTTGAAAAATTGTTGGAGTTTAAACACGCGGAGATAGGTCAAAACATTATGAATGCGACAAGCAAGATCAGACGTTTGAAGTAAAACTTGCTCTTCTCCCTTCTACCGTTATGAGAAAAACACTCTCCGTCTGTGTGAAAGGTGAATGCTTGCTTTCTCAAATGCGGAAGTAATTTCGGCCAAATAGTTGTCATCAATAGTAGATGTATAATTGAATTTTGATAATATTGTAGCGTAGTCACCCTTTATTTCATATGGGTGTTTGTTCAACTTTTTAGGGTTATGGCAACATTCCCTGGAATAACTCACTGTGAATACTATTCTCTAGGCAATATTTTTCGTTTACATTTGTTTGGCTGACCTTGAAAATGTTTTCCTGGAAATACTTCAGAATTCTTGGAAGGGTAATGCTATTTCCTTCTACATGTTAATCCTCATAATACTGTATTTCAAGTATTAATAAAATGGTGGAAGTATTAATATTTTGGGTATATAAAATGCATTTAATTCTATTTTATTTCTATTTGTAGAAAGAACCTGTACGAAGATTTAAAATCACTCTTCCTGAAAATAGTTTAGATGCATGTCCGTGTTCATGTGAATAAATTATTTTAATTTTTTTCAACTCCAGGAGATGAATAATGTCTAGGCATATTTACCTAGATTCTGTAGCCGTTGGCAAACATGTTTAGGTGTTACCGTCGTGATGATTCTAAAAATCAATGCTAAAGTTTTTTATTTTATCGAAATAAAAACAATCGATGCCACTATTTTATTAGCTGAGTACCGGTTTCAAACTTTAGGAACTGTTAAAAACTTTCTCAAGTGTACATTTCTTTAAATTAAAAAAACAAATTTCACTTTTAATTCAAACAATAAATTCTGTAATCATTATCAGACTAAAATAATAATCTTGTTTGAAAATTATTTTTAAAATAAGAGTGTTCAACAGTGAAAACGTAAACATTGCTTATAATTTTTCTACATTGCATGGGTGTTTCAATAATTAAAATTGGTCAATTTTCATCGTTTCTATTTCACCGGAATTCTTCACTTCAAAGATCTTGTACATTGAAAGAGATAGCTGATTGTGTAACCTTCATTATCAGAGATTACTTATTTGCTCTTAGAAGTTTAAAGGCCAAATATTATGTACTAAATCATGAGAATTTTTATAGTATTATTATACATACACACACACAACAGAGCGAAAGGACCCTTTCTGGTTATTGGCGTATGTCCCCTAAATTCACACCGAACCTCATTTTAAAAGCTACTTACGGCCTCTCGAAAGAAACCACCACTCAATGACGATGTGCATCTTGCTTCCACAGACAACGTTTTCTCAACACCCGGACATGGGTCACCTCCGAATACAGTGTGTGAGATTTTGATGGAGCAGCTCTTTTTCCCTTGGCATTCCTGCAAAATTTAGAAAGTATGTCATGACGGTCTACAACCAAACAATTAGAAAAATGGTCATACTATTTTGGCACTAGAAAGGTTAGGATTTTGTCAAACTGGCCCACTACTGTTTCGCCTGATTCAGACATGAAGGAGTAGCTTCATGCTCACCGATTAATCATTTTATTTCTTGTTGGTTTTTTGCAGGGGGTAACGTTAGGCTGTTCACTTATGGGACACAAGTAAGTGTAAAAGAATATAACTGCATCTTCAACCTAAAATTAAGACAATAGATTCGGTTTTTATCACTCAACTTTATCATTTCCATTCAACATGCACACTATCTCACTTAAATTTCTAACATTTCCAGATAAATAGCAACCACCTTTCTAAAGATGATTTGTAAATCATTATATTCATAAAACTGAAATGCAAGTTAATTGTTTCCAATATAGAGTTAGTTTACCTTGGAAACTACAGAAATGGAACTAGGTGCGTGGCAGTTTCCTCTAGAAAAATTCTGACAAGTACCTCCTGGGGTACCAAAGCTAGCAAATGTTATGGAGGAAATTGTATGCCCTTCTTGACAATATAAGTGAAGTTCAGGTATCGTATTATTAGCAGTAACTTCTTCAACTATGAGATCTGCATTTAACAACTTCTGCAAAGTTGGATAGTTGGATTCTGACACTTGAGCACATATTAATCTGGACAAATGTAACTTGACAGAAATTCCAAACGGATTTCCTGCTGTCTCTTCCAAGATAACAAGTAAATTGTTGGATTCTCTCAACCATGATCGTGGCACATGGTACCTGGAGATGGAACAATCACTTTCCAGTATTAATCTACAATAAGTAATGCTGTATCCTCCTAAAAACCTTTCTAATGAACAAAATTTTCCTCATTTAGTAATTAATTAGTAGGATTATCATGAGGGATGGATAAGAGAATTTAAAGTTATTCTAGTAAAATAATGTACATAAAGATGTCAATCAACATGAGTAAATGATGCTGTGGGAGGCTTTTATAATTCGTCAATAAAGTCTTGCGGAATCAGATGAAATAATGAAACCAACAGTTTTACGACTTTGAGATTACATACAAGGTTTGGGTTGGTTTTCCACAATTTGTTAAACACTTGTCAGAATCATATGCTCCACGATAATCACAGACTTGTTTGCATCCACTTTCTGGGGAAACCCGAGTCCAGTATCTTCCTATATGGTGACCATTCACCCAAGCCTGACCTTTCCCCATGCTTTTCAAGTCAAGAGCAACTGGATCTGTGCCACCAGGAACATCAAAATATGTCTGCTTAAAATAAATTGGAGTTATTATTACATTGGTGTGTTATGATAAAGAAAAAATAGCATTAGGAAGAATGGCCAGTCTTCTTGTGCTTAAAGCTCGTATAGAGGTTCATGAATGATTTTATATTTATAACAAAATCAATGTAAATAACTTGTAGGAGGCTCTTTTCCTTTTCTATTTTCTTTCTATACAACAGTTCTCATAGATATATCACTTCAACAGAGCATAGTTACCTTGTACCATGTAAATGTGGATGAGATAGCATCAGGGGTTAATTCTATCCATTCTGAATATTCATTCTCTTCAGTGTAAAGTTGTAAAAACTCACCCTGAAGCCCAACCTGCGGTAAAATTGAATAAAGTGGAATTAATATTTTCAAATTCCTCATACTATAAGAAGTACAATCCCGCAAGTATAGAATGTGATGACATAAGAAGAAAATTATACAAGTTAATTAACTTAGAATAAAGATAATGAAACAGAGACACACCTAGAAAACACTCCATTAAATCATTTTAAATTTGTTTGAAGTGGAGGCAGAACTGGAAAGACCAACTAATGTTGAACAAAGAATCAAAACTACGAATTTTTTTTTCTCCAAATTTGAATTCTTAGATTACCATGACAAGGTTGAAATTTTTAAAGATATAAAAAACCTCAAAGAGGCAACTTAAAAACCTATTTCTACAAGGGCATGTAACCGAAACTTAATATTCAAAATCCTATTTTGTACAGGAACATATATTCTCAACCAAACTTATGCTAAGAGAAGATACTTTAGGAGATAAGAACTTTTTTTATGTTTTAGTAGGTAGCCTAGATGCTTTGTATAGTTAGGTTCTGTAAAACTAGGTATGAGGTTAATCTTCCTTGTTCGTCAAATAATATACAAGGGTAATATATTTAAATGAAGAGTAATACAAGAAAATATGACAAATACACATAAATATGGTAATTGTAAGATCTTGTGACTAAACAAAATCTAATAATATCTAACAATATCTAATAGTCCCCCTGAAGTTGGTACATATAAATTATATGTACCAAACTTGTTACAAATAGAATCAATTCTAAGTCCCATAAAGACTTGATGAATATATCTACTAACTGTTCACTTGAGTTAACAAACTCGATTTTAATATTTCTAGATATAATCTTTTCTCGAATAAAATGACAGTCAACCTCAATGTGTTTGGTCCTTTCATGAAAGACAAAATTAGAGCTAATTTGAAGAGCAGGCTAGTTGTCACATATAAATGTTATATGAGTGACATCTCCAAATTGTAACTCTTTAAGTAATCTTGAAATAGAAAAAAGAAAATAAAGAACTGATTTTGAGAGCCTGAAATCATCTTCTTGTGTTCTCTTATTTATAGGAGATAAAAATACAGATTCAGAGATACAATTAATAGAGAGACATGATTAATCCTAGAGAAGATAAACAGATGCATTCTAGGAACTAGATCTACAACTAATCTCATAAATGTCCAACAAGATACTTTTAATCTAATAAATACTTCAACACTCCCCCTCAAGCTGGAGCATACAAATTGAATGTACCAAGCTTGGAACAAATGAATTCCATTCGAGGTCCTCTCAAAGATTTTGTTAATGCATCTCGCAAGCTGCTCATTGGAACCAACAAACTCAGTACAAATTTCTTTAGTCAACAATTTCTCCCGAATAAAATGACAAGTCAATTTCAATATGCTTGGTCCTCTCATGAAATACTCGGGTTGGAAGCAATGTGAAGAGCGACTTGATTATCACAATACATCTTCATAGATTGAATCTCACGAAGTTCAATTCTTGCAAGAATTGTTTTACCCAAACAAGTTCACAAGTAAGAGACGCCATTGCCCTATATTCAGCCTTCAGCAGAGGATCGGGCAACAACGTTTTGCTTTTTGCTTTTCCATGAAATGATATTTCCTCCAATGAAAACACAATAGCCTCGTAGTGGAACGCCTATCCATAGGAGATCCAGCCTGATCAAGCATCACAGCATCCAAAAATTTGGGTATTTCCCTTGTCTTCATATAATAATCCTTGTCTTGGAGCTTTTTTAATGTATCTTAAGATTCGAATGATAGCATTCCAATGATCCACACAAGGAGCTTGCATAAATTGGCCGACAACACCAACCGCAAAAGACAAATCGAGTCTAGTAATCGTCAAATAAATAAGTTTCCCAACCAATCTTCTATATCTTTCCGGGTCGAGAAAACTTCACCCCGTCTCCGCCATTAACTTCAAATTTGGATCCATAGGACTCGTCCACAGGTTTGCAATCAATCATACCTGTCTCTTTTAGAATATCTAGAGCATACTTCCTTTGAGAGATGACAATACCTTCTCTTGATTGAGCTACTTCAATACCCAAGAAATATTTTAGATTTCCAAGATCCTTGGTCCGAAAATGACTACTCAAGTGCTCTTTTAACCGAGATATTTTAGCAAGATCATTCCCTGTGATGACAATATCATCAACGTACACAATTAAATAAACATGTTTGCCAGGGGCAGTGTGACAATAAAACACCGAATGATCTGCTTCACTCGCGTTTTAATCCAAAAGCTTGAACAATAGAGCTGAATTTTCCAAACCAAGCCCGTGGAGATTGTTTTAGGCCATAGAGGGATCGACGTAATTTACAAACCAAACCAGACTCCCCCTGAGCAACAAATCCAGGAGGTTGCTCCATGTAAACTTCTTCTTCTAAGTCACCGTGCAAAAAAGCATTTTTAATATCCAATTGATGAAGAGGCCAATGACGAATGGCGGCCATGGCAAGGAACAGGCGGACAGTGGTCATTTTGGCTACTGGAGAAAAAGTATCACAATAATCAAGTCCATATATTTGAGAATACCCTTTAGCCACTAACCTTGCTTTAAGACGATCAACCTGACCATTGGGCCCAACTTTAATAGCATAGATCCAACGACAACCAACTCGTTTTCTTTCCCGAAGGGAGAGGAACAAGCTCCCAAGTTTTGCTGTGATCAAGAGCCCGCATTTCGTAAATCATGGCTTGTCGCCATCCGGGATGATCAAGCGCTTCGACCACATTTTTGGGAATTGTAATAGAGGAGACGAGAGGAAATAAAAGAACAATAGGAAGGAGACAATCTATGATAACTAAGAAAATTGTAAATGGGATGAGGATTACGAGTAGAACGAGTACCTTTGCGAATGGCAATGGGCCAACTGGAATCATCGTTATCAGGAGCCGTGGTATTAGAGGATGATGGTGAAGGACCTGTTATGGATGGCTCATCTTGGGGAATGAGATTGTTCACCTGGTTCCTACGTTGATAGGTGATGATAGGCTGTGATGCTGATTCTAGAGTATTTTGGTCAGAAATAGGAGGTACAACTGATTCAACTAAGGGAACAGGAAGCACATTTTGGACAGAATCAATATCCTGCATAGAATAAGGGAAGAAGGATGATGATTCAAAAAAGGTGACATTAGCAGACATGTAGTACTTCTTGGTTTCAGGAGAATAACACCGATATCCTTTTTGAAGACGAGAATACCCCAAGAAGACACATTTGATAGCTCTAGGTAAGAGTTTATCTAAGCCAGGAGACATGTCATGAACAAAACATATACATCCAAATACCCTAGGAGAAACATGAAAAATTGGTTCCTTTGGAAATAGAATAGAGTGTGGAACTTTATTATCAAGAGAAGAAGATGGCATTCTATTAATGAGAAAGCATGCAGTTAGAATAACATCTCCCCAATGATGAATAGGCATATTGACACCCAGCAATAAGGTACGAGCAGTTTCAACCAAATGTCTATTTTTTCGTTCTGCTATACCATTTTGCTGTGGTGTGTGAGGACACGTGGACTGGTGTAAAATGCCTTGAGAATTTAGGACATTAGAAAAATCATTAGAAAAGTACTCTTTGGCATTATCACTTCGTAAAACTTTGATTACTTTTCCAAATTGAGTTTTGATTTCATTAAGGAAAGACTTAAAGATAGGCAATAGTGGCTGTCACGAGTCGCCACGCGCAGCGGAAAGTGGCTGCTACATGAAAACTTCAAACGGCGTTCTTGTTTGGAAATCTTGTTTGGGCTACTGGATTTATGTTCTTAATTTCCTGGCGCGGATATTGGCAGGAATTGATTGAAACTTTAGCATGGGCTCATGAACGTACACCTTTGGCTAATTTGATTCGATGGAGAGATAAACCAGTGACTCTTTCCATTGTGCAAGCAAGATTGGTTGGACTAGCCCACTTTTCCGTAGGTTATATATTTACTTATGCAGCCTTCTTAATTGCCTCTACATCGGGCAAATTCGGTTAATTCTTTATTTTTAATTCTTTATTATTATATATATATGGCAAGAATATCATTTCCTTCTATAGGGAAGATAAGCCATTTATACATCTCAGATCCGATTTCTATCATTGATACTAATAGGAAATGAAACATTATGGCAAGGAAAAGTGTGATTCAGAGGGAGAAGAAGAGACAAAAATTGGAACAGAAATATCATTTGATTCGTCGATCCTCAAAAAAAGAAATAAGCAAAGTTCCGTCGTTAAGTGATAAATGGGAAATTCATGGAAAATTAGAATCACTACCGCGTAATAGTGCACCTATACGTCTTCATCGATGTTGTTTTTCGACCGGAAGATCGAGAGCTAATTATCGAGACTTTGGATTATCTGGACACATACTTCGGGAAATGGTTCATGCATGTTTCTTGCCCGGTGCAACAAGATCCAGTTGGTAAGGATTCCCAAATTATCTTCATTTTTTTTTCATTTTATTATCAGCGATCATAGGAGGGTCCCTTTACCGTTATGTATAAATAGTTTATTCTATTTGTATAGATATGGTAAAGGGACGCTTTAAATCTTTGTTTTTGTTCATTAGAAGTAAAATTGGGCACAACAGGGGAACCCAAAATCTGATCACGGACATAGGAATATTCATCAGCAAGTCCATGTAATGCCAACAACACGAATAACTTTGACCGTTGCTCTAGTTCTTGGATAGGAGTAAAGGCAAAAGGTAATAACTCATTAAAGTCATGAAGAAGAGCATGAATTTTACCCAAATATCCAACCATTGGGCCATGACTTCGAGGAGTAACAACAATGAGAAGATCGTGACAAACACCGTAAATGTATAATAATTTTGTCAAACTTTGAAACACGTTTCATAGGCACGAAACATTTGTTTTAAAGAAGAGTGAATGGTAAACTTGAGAAAGATGCATAGTTGAGCATCAATTTTCAACCAGTAGCAATAGTAGTCATACTCTGAGTAAGATGATCACATACCCATGACTCTGAAGCCAAAGTTTAATGTCTGACACCCAAGTCACAATATTAGTGCCATCTAACTTATCAATAGACAAGTACACATTCACATAATTAGTATAGACTTACCGGTCAGATAGATTGTTGGCAGAAGAAGAGATATCAGAAGAGGCAACGGAAGAATCCATGGAGGAAGAGAGAGAAAAACGCTAAAAAAACCAAAGAGGTCTGATAAGATCAACAAGGCCAGATCCAGAAAGAGGGAGAGACGGCGAGTTGAGTGACGGTGATTGTTGTCAGAGAAGGCCTGTCACGAGTCGCCACGCGCAGCGGAAAGTGGTTGCTACGTGAAAACTTCAAACGGCGCGTGAGAGTGCGTAGAGACTCCGATCGCAACAATCTCAATGACGCTATGGTCGCTTGGCTGAGACGAGCAGAACAGTGTGGTTTCTGGTTTGAATTGTAACTCCAGCGACGGCGGCGACGATAGGTGCAGGGGCAACGACGACGAAAAAACCCAAAGAACCTAATCTTTAGATACCATGTTGAATATAGTAAAAATTAGCTATGAGGTTAATCTCCCTTGTGTGTAAAATACACATAGGGTAATATATTTATAATGAAGAGTAATACAGGGAAATATGACAAATACACATAAATATGGTAATTGTAAGATATTGTTAGATATTTTGACTAACAATATCTAATAATATCTAACAATATCTAACAGGTTCAATGCATCTTAGAAAGTATGGTATATTTGTTGTCCTCTTGTAAATTGATCTGGCATTAATTATCTTTAAAATAGTCTTGAATATAAAAAAGTGAAATATACTAGGTTTAAAAAACACTCACCCATTACACACACACACACACTAACCACACAGGTTTATTTACAAAGAGTGTGTAGTTTGAGTTTACCTAAATAGCTTATGTACACCTAGTACTCAGACCCTGGACTAACTAAATGAATGACTAGAAAATGTTTGAAAGTTGGTCATTTGAATTCAGAAGGTCAATTTTAGTATGTCCAGCTTCCAGAAGGAACCATCTACGAGAGATAGAGAAAACATGTGCATTGGGCCTGTGTTTTTACTAAACCTTTCAGAATATAGCTCTAGTGTATTGCACGAAAACCTGATAATATTTTCCTAAAAACTAGCTAATAATTCATATAGTTATTTTGGATCAGTTCAGGGTATATATTATATACATACCTGATAGGTCCACAATGATTTTGAAAGATCTATGTCTCCGTTTTTAAATCCAGTGATCTTTATTGTACCTCTGATCCCTGCTCCATCCTTCTCAATAAATGCACCATAATTCTGAAACATTGTTTCAAATGATATGTATAGTTAGTAATCTTTATCCCTTAGTTGTTTGACAAGATAATAAGTTGAAAAGAAAAGACATAAAAATCACATACAAATGGAAAGGGAAGAACAAATAAATAAAACCATTTAACTACACAGGTAATTAACAACTACGCTGCCTGCCCATATGCGGCTTGTACCTTCATTGTGATAGGTGTGAGGGCTGGATATAGTTTCACCTCGACTAGGGACAAGGTGTAAGTAATGCTTACAAAGTTTGGATAATCCTTACTTTACAAACCCTTTTATTTTTCCTTCTGAGAAAAGAGAGTGCTAAGGCTTCATTATGCTGTTTTCCATCTTAACTATGTTGGCATAACAAACCACATCAATAATATGCAACACCTCAGAAAATCATAACAAAGAAGAAAACACCATTATCCACTAATCCTTAACCCTACTATAAAAGTGTAAATCAAATCTATCCCTAAAAAAATCAAGACAAATAAAGATAGGAATATTACCCTACCAAGTATAATCCCATCTAGTGCCAAACTCAGCAGGTTTATCAACACATTGATTAACTAACTACAACTTATACGAAAAATGAATACATGTAGTATTACTATTTACAAAATAATTCAACCATGTACTATGAAGATTGTTTGGTTTTTGTAGGGGAGGCAATATTTGAATGATATTCACGAACGAAACACCAAATAATTATATAAGTGAATATAACACCACTTTCAACATAAAAACTTATGGCACTTGTAGGTCTTTTTCACTTATATGTTATTTAAATTTTTCATTTTCATACAATGTGGGACTTCAATTCACTTGAATTTCAACACTCCTCCTTCAAGTATGAGTCGCTACACATTGGTACACTCTCCCCTCGATCAGAAACATCTCTTAATCATGAGTATCTAAGTGGAGACCCTTATTTGTACCACCGTTTAATTGGAACGGGATACATCACCTACTCTATTTCGTACTCGACTGAGCTTATCAATAGTCAAACCATTGACTACCATTGTTAGGTTTTTGTGAAAGGGGAACACTTGGCTGATATTCACAAATGGGTACAACCATATAAGAAAATATGACATCATATTCAACTTAAAACCTTAATACCTTAAGGTATTAAGTGTGTGAATCTTTCTCACTTATATGTTACTCAATTTTCCCATTGTTGGAATTCAAGTATTGGATTGAGCTTGAATAACTAGGTAAAATCAACCTATAAATCTAGACTCTAGAACTAATTTACCTAATGGCATGCTTATTGATATTTTTAGGAAAAGCAATGAATTTTAAGAATAAGTTCTCTTTATAATTATGGTTTTTATGAGAGGTTGAGCAAGACAAATAAAAATTTATGCATTTATTTGTTTACTTTGTGTCGATCTTGATTTTCACAATTCTTAATAGATAATGCATGATAAATGTAAAGGTACAAAATACATGAATGAAATTTAAAAAAATATCCTAATTACAAACTTCCCTATTTACAAATTTACAAATATATAATAAAATATTTATAAATGTAAAAGCTATGCTATGTTTGCTTTCTCCGTCATGACCTCTATGTTAATTATTCTCACTAAGTCTCTCTGACTTAACCTTCTTTTTTTTTTTTTTCCTTTTCCTAGATAATCACAAGTGGTTTAATAACGGGCTTCCTAGGATTGGTTGGTCTAATCAAGAGTTTGCTCATCTTTTTGGTATGTCTCAGTTGTTTGTATGAAGATTATTTTGTTTGGTGAATGAAAAATATTGTAGTTATTGGAATAGAAATAGAAATAAGAAAAGTCTTCTTTTATTTTCAAATGTAGGTGGTCCTATTATTAAATGTTTTTAATGATGTAATTATTACATTTTGAGATACTACGATGATTAGGATGCATAAACTATATGATTCCTTAATGAAATTGTTAGAATCACAAGATTTATATTTACTAAATTGGTATTAATTAGTTGTATCTATCTATGAGTTGTATCTTCTAGAAGTTAATTTTTTTCAGCTCCCCTCTAATCAATTTATCTCTACAACCTTCCATTATAGATATGAGGTGATTTGGGTTGTGAAGACACACTCAAATATTATAATATTTCTCTTATTTTCTCTCAAGTTGGTGTCAGAGTAGGTTTATCTTGCTCTTTCTGTTCTAGTTCTGTTCGGCCCACCGGCGATCACTGCCAGTTGCTATTGGCCACCACCATTCGCCGTCATCACCACCGTCACCGCCGTCCGCTGCCACTGCCTGTTGTCTGTTTGGGGTTTCCTCTCTCTCTCTTTTTTCTCCTTTTGTGTGTTGTTTTATCTCCTTCAAGTCAGAAATGGCCTTTGGACCAACCCATTGTTTTTCAGTAACTCCTTCCATCACATAAGAAAAGCTTAATGGGAAAGATGGTCATAGAACTAGAGGAGGACGAGGTAGTGAAGGACATCCTCAACGTACGCACGGTAAAAGAATGAGGCATACACAAGAAAATTGCTACTCTCTTCATGGTTTCCCTAATAAAACAGTCAATATCTCCATATCTATTGCTATTGATCCAAAATTTTCTGATGAGGAATATCAGGAATATTTGAAGTTGAAGTTTAATAGTCTAGCCTCGACTCCCAGCATGTCAACTACTTGCATTTCATAATATGTGAAGGGTCAAAGTCCATGGATTATTGACTCAGGTGCTTATGACCATATTTCTGATAATAACTCTATATTCTCTTCTCTTTCTTATCTTAAAAATCATCACCTTATAACCCTAGCCAATAGATCCAAAGATGCTTGTCAAGGAATTGGCCAAGTATCCCTTTCTCCTACCTTACACATAAAATTTGTTCTCCTCGTCCCTGTCTATCCTTCTAATCTCATTTCTTTAAGTCAGCTAACAAAATCATTAAATTACTTTGTAACCTTTGATGTCAATTTTTTTGTTATACAACGTGAGACGGGTCGATTGATTGGAGAAGGACACGAATCTAAAGGTCTCTACTACTTTGGATCTATCTTATCCGGGTCCTATTTTGCATCTCCTTCCCCCTAGCTTTTACATGAATGTTTAGAATAAGTAAATTCCTTGTTAAATTAATTTATAATACATATATATGTATTTTATAAAATAATATTGCTAATATTTTTATTTAAAAAATAATTATTATTCTATAAAACGAGTCGACCCATAAGCCTTCAAGCTAACCTAACCCAAGCCAATGTAGGTCATGTCCTAAATAGGCCGGCCCAAAATAGTTCTAACTCAATTTAGGCCACAAATTTTTGGCCTAGTTTGGCCTATCTCTGAGACCTTTCGGGCGAGTTATCGGGCTAAGTCTATTTTGATACCCCTACTCTAACTTGAGGGAGGGTGTTATAGATATGATTTGAGTATGTTAAAGATAGGATTTGATTACATTAAATAAGGAGATATGGTATGATTTAATATCTTACGAAATATTTCCCATTATTAGATATTGAGTTTGTCCCTTATTATTGTATCTATTATTCATTTAAATAAGAATACTCATAGCTGTACACAACACATATAATTCATTTATTCCTTCTCGGTTTCTTTCTCTCAACATGGTACTAGAGTGGTACCATCCTCCGCGGCATGTTTCGTCACTAATCCTTTCAATATCTTGAATGTTAGATGACAGGTGGTTGGGGTTTTTACTGCCATCTCTCCCTAGCTGACCTTGTTTCACATAAGCCATTGTTGCAAGGTCATGCTCTCTTTCAAGATGGTCTCATGTAGGATTTTCCTCATAAAACTTGAGGAAATACACATTGTTTTGTTTCTAAAAAGAACACATAGTAACACAAGCATAATAATTGAACATTATGATCTTCAATTCCTCTTTTCCATTAATAATAAACCTCTTATCAAAATGAACTACTTTTACAACCTAATTTGATTGATCAAAGACTATAACTGTGTATGAATTATGAAATAGAGATGTTTTGGCATTATAAATAAGCATACGTGTTAAAAAGGTACTAGGAACTTCACCTGCAAACCCACTGTTTGAGTTAACAGTGTTAAATCATTGTATCCCGGAAGAAATTGAAGAGACTGGACAACCTCTACCCAATGACCAACAACATTACCTTCACTTGGACAAGAAATGAAACTACATGAATATATAAACAGAAGAAATAAATATCAAACTTCTAAAACACATTATTTATGATATAGTTGATGCTTTGATTTGAAATTAAGGGGACCCATGGTCTGGAGTTAGGGATAGTGCTTTAAAGAGACAATGACACCCCACTCCTTAAAAAAATCATCATCTGACATGTGAGGTATACCCATACTCCACAAATTTGACTGAATATATATTCCGCATATTTTCATAAAGGTATATTTTAGATGCATATTCATGGAATGCTAACTTGCTATTCGGGTGTTCTCTGGAGAGTGATTTAATTCTTCACTGTTGTGAGATGATAATGATCTTGATGAAAATGCTTCTGTTTGATTAGAGACAAGACAGAGTTGTCCGTTAAAGGACACCAACTTCAGGGGAGATATAGTCCACTGAAGAAGGCAGAAGCCACCTCATTTTGGTTCTCTCATGTAGGTGGCCCTATTGTATTTAACTATGCAATTTTAATATGTTTTACAAATTGTTAATTTATTTTTTTCATACAAACTTTATCTTCTATTTGTGAATATTAAATATCATTATATTTACATCGATTAATTTATAATTTATTGTTTGTACTCATTATATTGATTTTATATAGATTACTTATTTCCATTTTCAAATAAATCACTCATGCTTTATTTTCCCCCCTTCTCATTACCTTGGTTGTTATGCCCTTAATGATATTTTGAGTTCTCCCATTTATTTACCCAAAGCACTAGAAAGCTGAGTTGCAGGTTACTAGGCAAGTGGGTTTTGTTTTGATTCCCAGAAGGTTGTTTCTATGCTGACTTACAGAAAACACATAATAGAACAAGATCAGTTACCTATAAGCTGGCCATTGACAAATACCCGCAGTATGTCTCGGACACCATCTATTGTAAGTTTTGGACGGACATCATTTTCCTCCCAAAACAAAATGTCACTGTCTGAAACATATATTCTGCATTATATACACAAATTAATGAAAATATAATTAGGCAACCATTGAATCAATATTTAAAAATCTTTTGATTTCGAGGAATTTTTTTATTTCATTGCCAGCTTGGTGGAACTCAGAGCATGGTTTCATCTTTGGCAGATATACAAAGGGAAAACCGTAAGGAGGATGTCTTCTCTCCATAATCTTTCATGTTCTTTCGTTGGATACAAACTCATTCATAAGGCATTACCTAACTTCAACTTTTAGCAAAGTTAGTTGTTGAAATTGTAACATTTATATGACCAAGTAGTTTGTCACTTCCATTGTAATAAAAAAGTTAAATTTATGATGGTAGGGGGCCTGTGCATTGTCCGCACTTCAACATTTTGTGACCCTTCACCTAAAAGCTTTCAAGAAAGTTGGTCCTTGAAACCTAGAGATATAATGAATTCTTCTTCATCTAGAAGAAGACAGATAACAAGTAAAACAATCATTTTAGATTAAAGTAAGGCATGATACAGCACAGTGCATATATTGGAAAGTAAAAATAAAACAAGCCAAAAAAAAAATATTATGCGACACGTCTGGTTATTCAGCTTTGAATAATTACCTGGTTGAATACCAAAGATAGTCAGATTGATCCTTTGTTACATTTAAGTGCTCCCCATATGCCTTCAACGGTGAAACTTCTTTTACTCCATATATTGAGTGGCTCTTTTGTAGTCATCCAAGACTTTGAGATGTAGTAAATTGCGTTGTGATGCCTCCATTGCTGAGCTGGGATAATATTATTGACAGTTGGCAAATCAAACTCTGCTAGTGTGACAGAAGTTTGTGCTCTAACCTGTGCAAATTTCAAGAAGAAAGTTTCAGATAACCCCAAAATAATATAACAATCCTGTAAGTGTAGTAATGGGCATTTTCACATACAAGAATACCTCTTGCATAGTCAACATGCAAACAACAAAATAACAATTTGATATCAAAATTTATTTATCAAGATGCTGTCAAATCACTCTATACTTCATCAAAGAGATCCCTTAAAGAACCATTTGATAGAAAATAAAAGCTAAATTACACTTTTAGTCTCCCATCTTATGGTTTAGATTAAATATTTTGTTTTAAACAAAAGGAGAGTGTTATTTCATCACTATATAGTTGGCAATCCCAACCGGATTAGCACTACAACCTATATCAATCATATTTGGGGGTGTCAAAGTGAGCTAACTCAGCTGACACGGGTTGGTAGATTAGGTGGATTAACTTGCTTAAATATGTGGTCTTATTTTTTAATTATTTTTTTATTTTTCAAATTACTAAAATTGATAGGTTAGGTGGGTTGGCTTACTAAAATATATTTTTCCTTGTAGATTTTTACACTTACACATGGTAGGAAAAATTACAATTTTAAAAATTGAAAAAAATTCGAGTCAACCCACCATCAACCTAACTCGAATCCAATAAGCCGTAGGTTAAGTGAGTTGGACTTCTTCTCACCCATAATTGAAAATTTTCAAAGTTCTTCAACCCAACACAATTTGAACATGTGGTGAGTCGGATTGGCTAATGGGTAATGACATATATTGACACCTCTAATCATATTAGCATTCTTTAAAAAAAATTAAAAATACAAAAGTCGGGGACCAAACCAAAATCTATGGAAAGAATCTAAAATGTGGGACACCAATTCTATCTCTACAAAAATTAGAGACAATACAAGGAGGCACTCCATTCCACCATGTAAAACATAAACTCCAAAATATGTGAAAATCTAAATTGTATATCCTTAATAAACTCCAAAATATTATTCCATTTATTCGTTAACTTCCAAGGAACTAAAGAACTCTTAGATTCAAAGTAGTCATTTATTTAAAATAAATAAATAATTTAATTGTTTATCTTTTAAATTTCGTTCCATTTGGTTCTTCCCTTAGTTTAGAATTGGTGTTGTGATAGAAAAAAAATATCATGTGGCAAGAAAACAATGGGTGTCCCACACACGATGGAAGAAAGATTTGGCACAAGGGAGGGGGAAGAGAGGTGGCAACCAAACACTTGGCCATGGTGGAGGAAACTTGATATCCCTATTTTTGTAGGAGAGGGAAGCATATGGCTGGACAAATGGTTAGAGTGGTAACCGCTTGAGAGCTTGAAAGAGGTAACGGAAGAGGAAAGAATGCAAGTTGTGATGATTGCTTTAGAGGGAAAGGCATTAAACTAGTTCCAATGGTGGGAGACTTGTAACCAAAATCCGACATGGGAAGGTTTCAAAGTTACAGTGGTAAGAAGGTTCCAACCCAATATGTCAAAAAATGCTTTTGAAATCTTGATTGAATTAACACAAACGGGTTCAATAGAAAGTTACATAAAGCAATTTGTACAATAAGCGGGATTCTTAAAAGGCATTGAACAAGATTATTTGATAGGAATATTCTTAAGTGGCTTGAAAGAAGAAATTAAAGCATAAGTGAAGTTATATAAACCCAATAATCATGCTGAATTGATGATGAAGGCTCAAATGATAGAAGAGAAAATCAAAATTATGTCAAAAGTGGGAGCATTGATTGGGAAAAAAGGAAACAATGGGTACATGCCGTATTTGATGACTATAAGCTTTTCCCGAGATGTAGGAAATCCTACTACCACCATTAATTATGGCAGAGAGAAAGGGGAACAACAGAAATAACTAGTAGCTTGAACAGTAATCAAGGAGGGAACCATAACCGTGGAGCTACTTTAGAGATGCAAGATAAGATCAAAAAAGGATTATGTTTCAGATTTTATGGGAAGTGTGGGCCTAACCATGTTTGCAGAAAAAAAACAACTATACATGCTCCTTATATTAGAGGAAGTCACATCCCAAAATGAAGAAATTCTTGATGACAAGATAGGCAAAGAAGATGGAGATGGAGAAGTAGAGAAAGTCTTGTAGCTGTCTATGTTTACTATGGTTGGTTATATGGACAAAAAGAAATGGACAAGACTGAAAAATGCATAGAATTTATAGAGATAATTTTGAGATATTTCATAACACAAGTTTTCGAGAGTCTGTCCACAATACAATTTATTTCTAATTTCCTTCCCCCCCTCCTTTCCTAATTTGAATTACTTCTATTATATTGCTTCCTTTGAGTGTTGTGTGCCATGTTGCTATTGGATCTATGATTAGCTCCATGACATCATGGGTTTTTCCCGATTATAGCATGAATAGGTTTTGTTTCCTATAAATTGAAGTTACCAGAGACGACCCAAGTTCATCCTGTTTTTCATATTTCTCAACTTAAAAAGGCTGTTAAAGACTATAATGCTTACATGGAAGAACCAGAAACAGTGCTAGCATGTAGGGAAGTTTTGCTAACTAGTCAAGTGATTAAACAGTGGCTCGTTAAATGGAAGGGCAGATCTGCTGATGACACTTTGGGAGGATGAAATGTTACTTTGTAATCAATTTCCTTGGTTGCCCCTGCTGTTACAGAGGTGGGAAATGATAGGATACTGAATAGGGACAGTAAAATAAAAGAGAGTGATGGGCCTTTAGAAGGAGAATTAGTGAAGCCCAAAGTGTGGCGAGTTTATGTTAGAAGGAAGAAGGTGGGCCCTGGGGGGAGGGGGAGTTAGTTGGAGGGTATCACGTGGCAAGGGGAGAGGAGAGATATTCTCTGGAGGAGTCACTGACTCTGGAAAAGCTTTGTATATGGTTTAGAGCATTTTTTGCTCATTGGTATATATTCAATCATACACAGTTCTATTACGTGATCATAATCTTTTTTTAATTTTGTTTCTGTTATTTGGATCTATCAGAATCATTATTAATTATTATAATTATTTTTAGGGTGGTAGAGTTCTCTATATAATGTACTTTCTTGTACTGTTTGAATCAAGAAATAGAACTAAAGTTTTCTCTCTTCTTCACTTTGTTTTCTATCCTCTTTCAAGTATTTTATAATCAAGTAGTTGATTTAAGTTTCTTTCAAAACTCTATTAAATACTACCTTCAAAACAATTCATGAAGTAGAACCCAAAATATTAATAAATTTTGAGAACGATACAAACTTTCAATTCAAGGATGGATATCAAGAAATCATCATGCAATATATATTATATACACGCATATATACAAGGAATCAAGTTATTTCACCTTTCACTTTTTTTAATCTAATGATTTCTATTGACAATTAGATTTAGAAAATAAAGGGTGAGGATGAATATAACTTTAAAAAGGTTTGTTATATATATATATATATATATATATATATATATATATATATATATGCATATATGCGTGTGTGTGTGTAAAGTTGGATAGCAGAAACTCATTATACAAAATGTAAATCATTAATGCAATAACTTTCACACACATATAATATCGAGAGGAGAGAGCATATTTTTGTCATGCCGACACTTTTGCAGACCCAAAAAGTTTCCTTCATAAACCAACCTTGGCTGTATTGAAAACTGTATTTCTGCAATCTGGCAATACACTCACAGACCATGGTGGTATAGTGTATCTTTGACCACGAAATGTCACAGTTGCCTCTTTGCGTTCATCAATATTGGCAAGAAATGCTGAGCATATGCCTTGAGATTTAAACAGAGACAAGTTTGATCCTTCTAATTGAACATTTGCTTGATACACATGTGCCTGAAATTGATGAACAAATGTGATTCAGAAAATAAAATCAACCATATAGGTTTAAATATAATAACCAAACCTTATAGCACTAGGTGGGATTGGCTATATGTGCTTGTGAAGACATCTTGTACTAAACTAAGTAGATAAATATGCATAAGCATTATCACTAGGTAAAAATGCATAATTTGTGAATGTCTATTGCAGCAAGAAAAGATTGAATATAAATGTTGGGAATGATAACAGTAATAAGTGTAGTTTTGCAAAAGCTCTCAATACCCAAATACAAGGAATTTGTATGAATCCAAATAAAAAGGATAGGTCCATCAATAATGAGGAACTATCCCACATTAACTTGGTCCTCTATTGTTTGTTAGATAGATACGAGAGTACTAACTCCCAGTTGAGCAAAGCTCTTTCAGACTCCATTCGGAAAATCAGTATGCTTTTATTACAAGTAGACAAATTCTATAATGTTCTCATTGCTAAAATGCTAGTAAGATGATGCGAGTCCGAATTATACAAGGTTGGGTTTGTAAGTTAGATTGAGAAAGCTTATGATCCTGTGAGGAGCATTTTGGAGAAAATGCTTTGGGTTATAGTGGAGAAATAGACTTTTGGGTGTTTGTGTTGAGGTCATTTGGTGAGAACTAGTGTCTCTCCAGAGGTATGGACTACAGATGCTTGAATAGTTATTCCAGGTTTGGAGGACACGTCCAATGACCCTTCTAAGGGTTGCATCCCAAGCCATGGCCATATTGGTAAGTCCAAAAAACAGGAAACAACTTTCTAGAAAGAAGTGCAGAGATCAGAAAATCCAGGTGACTTCTGAGATATAAAGGCATTAACAAGCATTCTAATAATTTAACCTATGACCAGAGACGATCAGGAGTTCACTCTTTTGCTAACCTTATAAGTTGAATTTTAGAGGAAAGTACATGGCTGATGTACTGTACACTTCAAGCCCAAAGGGACTTGCATCAGAGACCTAGTAGAGATATAAGTCATTAGTGAGACATTGTCTAGCTTAAGCTTTAGGAGAGTAGGTGTCTGAGTGTAGCTAATACCGATAAAATATTAAATGTAGTAAACAATAATGCTTGAAACTTGTATGAAATATCTATTTCATGCTAAGCTCAAACCTCCTGTTTTGGACCCAATTTTATATATGTTGGTGAATCAGCGGCAGCCAAGGCAGGCTCACAAAGCTTCAAAGCAGCATGTAAATCTTTTAAGTGACCCCATTTTGGCTCACGCAACAGACCTAGAAAAAGGTTCATCAACCATGTCAACTGCTGTAGGCCATATAATCGCATTAGCTACCATAAAAAAACGGAGTCCTATTGTTCTTCTACATACCATACTCATCAATTGGAGCATCATAATCATAACTTGTAATTTGCAAAGGTCCCCCAGCAGTGCGACCAAAGTTTGTTCCGCCAAAATACTGTAACATAAAATGGATGGTCAAGATGTGGGTTACAAGTGCTCATATCTACAAAGACTAAAATACCCATCATATATAGATAAACCTTGTATAATACATAATACACTCATCCTAAATATATAAAGTAAAGTACCAAATAGAAGATATCACCAAACTGAGTTTTAAGTTTATTTTCATTGAAAATATATTACCATAAACAAATAAATGGAAGAATCCTCCATGAGACAACCATCAGGTTAGAACAGCAAAGAAGTCAAAAGTGAGTAGTTAGTTCAAAAATCCAAATAAAATAAACAGTTATACCATGTAATAATTTTGAAAGCTTCCGCCACGTTGGAAAAATCGTGCAACTGCAAAAGCAATATCTTCAACAGGTCTATGAGGCAAGTTTTCACCCCATTGGGTATACCTTCAAAATCAATTGGAAGCAACAACCAAAATATTTATCACCACAGCCAAATACCGAATCAGATCTCAACACATTATTTCTTTTAGCTTCTATTTCTTATCAGCAGTTCAACTCACACAGGTTTATGCAAGTACATATATATATATAGAGAGAGAAGCACAAAACACAAAAATATTGGCTACTTTGTTGAAAGTCCCACATCGCCTACCTCATGTCATTTGGTATGGTTTAAATACATGTTAGGCATATTGCCAATTGGTTTTATGTTGGAACCTTAACATGATATCAGAGCCAAAAACTAACATCTTTCCAGTTATTGTCATGGGCCAAAAGTTGCCCTTTAGTTGGGTCAAAAGTACCCTTTGCCTGATCCGGCAAGCTTAGTTGGAGGGGGCGTGTTGAAAGTCATCCCACATCACCTACCTCATGTCATTTGGTATGGTTTAAATACATGTTAGGCTACTCCACATATTGTCAATTGATTTTATGTTGGAACCTTAACATACTTTAAAAGTTTATGAACATTTTGTATAATATAGTGTCTACTGCTAAACTTGTATTTATATTGTCATTAACCATATAATCAAACATACCCTTTAATTCCTTTCCTTATCTTGGGTGCTCCTATAAGTAAATACTTCCGTACTATTATGATACTTCTCCAAACCACAGAATAATTTACAAAATAACTGGACAAGCCAGCAGTGTATATATAAAGCAAAGGAGGTAATGGTGGGATGCAGCATATAGAAGTCACCTCCTTAAAATGCTACAGTGGAAAATCAGAAAGTAGCCAGTAGCAAAGAAAGAACACAAGAGAGTTGATAACTCTGTTCAGAAAATTGGAAGAAAAACATGGGACTATACAAAATAAGTAAGCATATCAGAATATAATATAAAGAACTAGAATCTCTCCTACCCCAGGTGATATAGACATATATAACAAGCATGCAAACATAGATACTGATTACAGAGGCACGTAGACAATTTAACATGTCGCTACTCGTAACAAGAGAGTCAAGAGAGAACTGAGCCATGCATGAGTTGCTGCCAAAGACCACTACTTGTTGTGCGCAATGTAATAAACTCCAATTCAGTAAAGAGCCAGTTGATATGATAGAATACACGGTTACAAGGATAGAATAGTAGCTTCTATGGCAGCTACTGGTGGCCTCAATTGTGCCTTGCTATGCTGCAATACTTGCCCTATTGCTCATATCAAAATGTAATCCCTTGAAGGATGTATTTGTTCATACCATCCATCCCAGTTCTCTGTCCAAATTGTTGGTTTGTTACGAGAGTTTGATTTAAATCCATCACAGTAGTATGCATTGCATGTATCAATCTGTGTACAACAATATTGATTTATTAACCACTTGAATTGTTTGTTATTTGAAACACAATATTTTAACTACATTTCCCGTTATTTTTTCAAAATCTACAAGAGAAAACTGAACATATTTTAATTTTAGTAAGTACAGGTAAATGTCAGCAAAAATTATTTTCAATGGTGGAAAGATATATAATTTACTATTTCATATGGAGCATCCTGTTGTCTACACATGACCCATGGGACCCCAGCACCAAGACTTAGAGCCATCTTAGCCGCCCATTTAACATAATCTTTACCTCCTTTGCCATAGGAACTCTCAATGTTCCCGTATTCATTCTCAATCTGAAAATCAAGTCACATCCTTAGTTAAGATTGCCTTCTACAAAGGGAAGTATCATATTTAACACTTGCATGAGATAATTCCAAGATAGCAGAATAAAACACAATCAATAGGTATCTAACACAAAATAGTTAAGTCTGTTGATAAGCTTGAGACCTAAGTAATCAGAGTACATCAAAACAAAAAATGAACCATATATAACAAAAATCAACAACTAAAATCTCGTATACAATTTCCATTAATCTATTGGATACATATATTATATAACATCACATAGTTAGGTGATTCCAATAGACATTGAAGAAATTAGAAGAGAAAATTCCAGGAAAATTGTTGTATTCAGTTATCAATAATCTAAAAAAGCAGTTCACTCCTACTAAAAGTTAAACTTACCTAAGAGAGAAACACATGCAATGAGGTAAAACAATTTTGTACACCCTATTTCAATAACAATATATAGAGACAGTTGTAATTTCATTGACAATTTTGTACACCCTATCAGGACTATGAATATGCTTATGATAAATAAAATTAATCAATGTATATAATGCCCAAAGTCTACACTCTTCCCACCTGCAACAAAATTATTGGACCACCTTGCCAAGAAAACAACATTTCCTCTCTCATCAGATTCACCACCTTGGAGACAAAGCGTTTCATCTCCTCCTAGGTTTTGAAAAAAAAAAAAAAAAAAATTTTTATCAAAATCATGTTAACACAATCCTTTCCAAACAAATTGACATTTATTCCATGATTTTATGAGAATTGACAAAAATTCTACCCCTACGCTCAAAAGTTGAGGTGCATTATATGATATAAAAAAGTGTGCACAGACACACACACAAAAAAGAGGATTTCGGGCTAACTCAAGAATCAAAGAACGTGGGTTTGGATTCAGCTTAACCCTACTTATATATTCTAGCCTGTGTGAGATTTGAGCGTTTCCCAATAAAGAACAAATGGTTGTCAAGCAACTAGAGTTCAAAACTGCGGATGCTGAATAAACAGAATAAATGGAAAAAAAAGAAGAAGAAGAAGAAGAAGAAGAAGAATGATATAGATCTGTTTACAAAACAAACATAAAAGACAGTAATGCCAACCAACAAAGCTGTCCACCTTGAAAGGTGCATTGTTTGTTCGAAATTCTATACCAGGGATATCACGCAACCACACTGGGAAACCCCTGCAAACATAACTCAAAAATTAACGAATTTATCTACTTTTTAAAAGAATAATAAGCATTACTGAAGAGCATTAAACAAAATAGGGGTGATGATAAGATACCCACACAAAAAAATAAAAAAAAAATCAACAACACAACCAAAATAAAAGAAGCAGATGAATCTGTGTAGCAGGGACATGAAATCTGGAATCCCTATGCATATTTTTCCAACTACACACAGGTTTTCCATATTGCTGCAAAACAGGCAATATCCAAATAGAGAAATAGGACAGATCAGCATGTATTGATCACAAACAAAAACTTAATTTATGTTTTCATCAAGTACCAATAATATTAACAGTTTTGAATGAAGTTTGTGTCTATTTCTCATTCCAAAATATTACGACAAGGATAGAAAAGAATGTAAAAATTGTATAGCATGGGATAAAAAGTAATTAAGGATTTTTCCTGTTTAGAATTAACTACCATCATCTAATCTCTGTGTTGTTTTTTCTAAATGGAAACATCAAATTTAAGAAACAAATGCTAGAAAATAATATGAGAAAAGGCTGAGACCCAAAGTTCCACTCGGCACACGCATAAGGGCCAATACGGAGAAAGAAATAGAGTCCTTGGGATGCAGCTAACTTCACAAACTTCACAAGATCATATCTCCCTTCAAAATTATACTGCAAAGCGCAGGCGCATCAAATGAAAATGGAAATTAATATTTCTGTATTAGAAAGCAAATATCAAATATATAATTGAAGATACAAGAGAAGGTCACTGCCCGGATAGTGGGGAGAAATATAATTCTGCACCTGTCCTCTCACTGGCTCATGCCCATTCCAGAAGACATAAGTTTCAATAACATCCGCTCCACCTTCCTTGCTCTTTGCAATCAAGTCAGGCCACATCTAAAATCATACCAAATGCACAATGAGATACAGTAATAAATCAAATTTCATCACAAATTTTAAGAACACACTTTCACATCCTATTATGGTCAAACGAGACTGATAAAAGAATTGTGGTTAATTTGTCGATTTAGTGTTAAAAGATTTTTCAATTTTGATGAAAATGCCATAATGCACAATCTCGGATGTCATAATTATCGCATTATTTGTTTTTTTTTTCGAAAGCTCACTCACGATGCTGAAAAAAAAAAAAAAGTAATCCAAAGGCTTTAATAGGATTTTGACTTTTCAGAACTGTCTAGATTCATGGAGACCCTGAAACTAGAGCAAAAAAAGAAATCGAGCAAACAAGTTCTAACAGAACTCAACATAGAGAAAAAATAGACAATGAATGAGAGAGATATCGATGATTCCGTTAAATTGCAGTTGCATGTTACTGTTATGTTAGTTTCTTAGTTTATCCATGGCGAAGAGTTGAACTGATTTGAGGAAATTAATACCTCGGGAGTGGCTCGTGGATAGTGGATTCCGGCGGAGATAAGGAAGCGGCGTTTGCCGTCGAGGATGAGAGCGCGGTGGTCGTAGGTGACATTGAACGGTTTGAAATACTCTTCGGCCACAGTCACTCTTACTCCGTAATCAATTGTCACTACGCAAACACAAACAAATAACACTGCCACTATCATCTCCTTCCTATTCTTTCCTGATCCTGCTTTGGAATTAGAATCGGAATTGGAATTTCGCAACATCTTCTTCAACCTTGCTCTTCTGCAATCTAGTTTGCGTGCGTAGTTCGCAACTACAACCACCGTTGAAAACTACAAAATAATAGGAATAAATGGATAATTCCTTCTCCTATAAGAGGTTATTAAAGACGACAATGAAATATTTTGTCTGCCTCATATCCAGTGTTTTTATATTAGCCTTTCTCTTCGGATGATTATCACAACAACTTATTTTATTAATTTTATAATAATAAAAATTTATATTGTCATGTTTATTATTATTTTATTGTTAAAAAGAATTATTGGTTGAATGCTTAAAAGAAACGGGGTGGTGTTTATATATCACCTCTCGTATAAATAACAGTAAGATAAGGATTATTTCTGTTTCACGTTCATGAGACAAGGATTATATAATAATAATAATAATAATAATAATAATAATAATAATAATAATAATAATAATAATAATAATAATAATAATAATAATAATAATAATAATATAAAATAATTTTATATTTAAGATATTAAACTATTTTTTTAAAGACATATAAAAGAGAAAGTAGAAAAGGATAAAATAAGATAAATATTTCTATAAAGTAAAATTAGTTTATGTTGGGAAGTTTTAGTTTAATATAGTAACTTAAAACTTTTATATTATATATAAGTTAATTTTAGTTTATAAAGAAACAAAATTTAATTATTTTTTAAATAATCGTTAATTATATATATATATATATATATATATATATATAATTTTTACAATAATTTTATATATGAATTTTTAATAATTTATTAATAAATATCTATATATTTTTTATTCTTAAATTTTTTATATTTAAGATTAAAGAATTTCATTATAATAAAATTCATTATAGACAAATATTCTTACACATCATTGTTTACTTACAAAAGAAGACACAATCTCACTTTTTATCATTTTTTAACTCACTAAAGGTAAAGAACAAGTTTTTTTTTTTTCACAAAGTTATTTCCAACGCTCACTAGTATACTAAGCTTTTGCACGTGTTAAGTGTTTTTTCTTCATGAAAACATCTTTATTTATAATATTCATGCTAATTTAATCATGAGATGTGAAGTTATGACTTAGTCTAGCTAATATGACTTTTTAGATGTTTTTGAACAATTTTTGTACATCTCTTGGGGAATAAAGTTAACGACGATGACAAATGTCTTTGGACATCTTTGCTTTGTCTACGTAGGATTTTTGTTACACCAAAGCAAAACTTGGCTTTGAACATGTAGATCTTCTTTGGATTTTATGCTGATTTGATTTTCAAACCTTAAATAATCTTATGTACTATGCAATGGGATATTTTTCTAGATTTTATTAAGCTCGTTTTCTATAAGAAAAGAGAAACATAGGATTGCTTTTTGATTGAGTATGGTACCGTCTTCCATTCTCTTTTTGTATTTTTGTTATTTTTACGATATTTAAGTGTATTGTAAATTAAGTTGGAATTACAAGTTATATAATGATTTTTTTTAGCCTCTTTGCATTAAAATAACAGCATATTGATATTTTAACAGTACTTTTTTTTCATGTTCTTTTTTGCTCGTATACAAAAAGAAGCATGCAAAGAACGACGTAGGAAAAAGAAGCAAAACACAAATGATAAGCAAGAAAAAACAAAAATTGTGGTCTTGCACAAAGTTTATATGAATTTTGGTGCAAGCTGTTGATTTAATCCCAACAAATGAATTTTGGTGTAATGTTATTATTTTAGAACCTGCCTATATTTTTTAAGTAGAAAATGATCCTGGATTATTGCAACGCAAGAAGAACTTAATATAATTTAAAAGAATTAGAGTTATGAATTGGTTCTTAGACTCTAACACAAAAATGTTATTCGTATCAAATAGATGTTTAGATGATCATGAGTTTCACATTATCAAGGAGTCTAAGGTTAAGAGTAATTTATATACATTTTTTTCTAAGGATGACAATTAAACTCGTATTCGTAAGGACCGATCCATCCTTATTTCGAGTTTGACAGGAAAAAATCGAGTTGACCGGGGTAGGAGCGGGTTCAGATTGTCCCCGCTTTAAAAATCGAGAGCGAAGATGGGTAATGAATCTCCACCCCAGTCCCGTTCTCGAGTCGACTTTATATTTAAATTTTAAAATATTAATATTTTAAAAGTATTTTCTTTTCTTTTTTTATTATATATAAGGTTATTTTTTTATATTTCACCATTTTTACTTTTCTTCTACCCACTTATTAATTTTTTTTCTTTTTTAATCTTTTATATCAATTAGTTTATTACATTGTTCTTTTTCCTTTCAGTTTTTCACATTTTCTTAATCCCTCAAATCAAATTTTTTTCAATCTTTTCAATCAATTTGATGAACATAAAGTTAACTTTTTTTCTTTATCTTTTTCTAAATATTTTACATAAATATTAATAATAACTAATATTTATTATTTATATTTATTAGGTTTTATTATGTCATATTTTTTGGATTTTGTTATTTTTATTTGTCATATATCAAATTTTATTTTAATAAAATAATTGTATTTTAAAGGATTAAAAAAATTAATAATTTAAACTTTTATTACTTTGAACTAATTAAATAAAAATTAACTTATTAAATATTTCCTTATAAACTATATATTTCATATTGTTAAATGACAAATTAAAAATAAATTAACTTATATATATGTAATTAAATGTTTGAATATATAATAATAATAATAATAATAATAATAATAATAATAATAATAATAATAATAATAATAATAATAATAATCCTAACGATGTTATTAAAACATACATGAGATCATCATCTACCAAGATAAGTTCCATCAAATATATGTCCTTTAAATCTTGGGTCTTCTCTATAGGTATACTTTCATAAAATTACTCAAGTTGGTGACCATTAACTTTGGAAACATTATCGGTAGCCTCAACTTTTATCTCAACTGCACAATAGGGAAAAACATTAGTAATAAGAAAGGGTTAAATAATAACACTTTTTGGCCCACACAGAACTCTTTCCTCAAGATCTTACTACCATGGATTTTTCTCACTTTTTCTTTGTTAATTTTAGAGTTCTCATAGGCCTTCACGTGAATCTCATCAAGCTCTTGTGACTAAATCTTCCTCTCTATACCAACCTAATAAAGTGTCAATTTATAATTCTTTACTGCCCAAATATAGATGGTGCTCAATCTCTACTGGAAGGTGGCATACTTTACTAGACACAACACAAAATGGGAACATGACTAATGGTGTGGTAAGTTGCCATGTGAGCTCATAGTGTGTCATCTAGCATGTTGCTATCCTAATCCAATCTTTCCTGTTAGGTTGAACTAATTTTTAATATAATCTTAATTTCTCTATTAAAAACCTCAACTTGTCGAATAATCTTAAGGTGATATGGCGTAGAAAGTTTATGTATAACCCCATACTTTTGGAACAAAGTTGTTATAGTTCTATTGCAAAAATGGCTCCCATGATCACTAATAATGGATTTTAACACACCAAACATGCAAAAAATGTTAGACTTGATAAAATTTAAAACAACTTTAGAATCAATAGTCTTGGTGGCTTTAGCAACAATAAAAAGAAACAGTAAAAGGACACACATAATCAATAACAAGCAAAATATAAGAGTAACTAAAGAAACAGTAAAAGGATCCATAAAATCAATACCCCACAAATAAAAAATATTGCAAAAAATAATGGGCTAGTGGGGTATCTCATGTCTCCTAGTAATAGTCCCTCCTACTTTTTGGAACACCTCACAAATAGTAGTCATCTAATATGTATCTTTGAATACAATGGACCAATAGAATCTGTTTTCAAGTACTCTCCTCGTTGTCCACTAGGGACTAAAGGACCTCCTATAGGTGTCAAATGTCAAAAATAGGAATAACCTATATAACTCATGGTCAGGAATACACCAATGAATCACCTAATCAATACAAAATCTCCACAGATATTGATCATCCTAGACATAATATTTTGCATCACTCTTTATTTTATAAATCTGAGTCCTAGTGCATGAGGAGGTACAATAGAAGTAACCAAATAATTAACAATATTTGCAAACCCAGGTGCGATATATTATAAAGAGTACAAAACAACAGTTGATTAATCATCTTTAATAGCTAAAGGATCTATAGTGTCCTCAATCCTGCTTAAATGATCTTGACATGATTTTGTGCATCACTCTTATCTATGATTTCTATCTCAAACTCCTAAAGGAGAAGCATTCATCTTATCAACTTGGGTTTAATGTCGAGATTCTTCAATAGGATTTTCAATGTTGCATGGTCAGAATAGATAGTAATCTTGGAGCCAAGCAAGTAAAATCGAAATTTATCTAATGCAAACACAATAGCTAAAAGCTCATTCTCAGTGATGGTATAATTAGTCTGGGTTGTATCAAGTATGTGAAGTTATAACATGAGGAATTTTACCAATTCCTTATGACAAAAACACACCATGTGCATAGTTAGAGATATCAAACATGAGCTCAAAAGGAAGCTCGTAATTAGGTAGTTATATGATAAGAGAACTGGTAAGTTTCTTCTTCAACTCCTAAAAGGCCTCTTTGTATGACTAGTCAAATATAAAAACTACATCTTTCTAAAGAAGTTTAGATAGTAGTAAGGACAATCTTGTTGAAATCTTGTATAAATCTCTTATAAAAACCTACATGTCCAAGAAAAGAATGCACTTCTCACACAAACACGAGGTAAGAAAGAGAAGTAGTCATTGTTGTAAAAGCTCACAGAGACACGAGCAAAATTTATTCCTGAGGCGTGTATAATCACTGCCCTTAAGGACTTATCCGCAATGTATTGCGCAAGTTCCCCAGGATACAACAGGAACTTCTCGGAATATCCGAGGATCTCAGAAACTAGCAAGAAACTCTCAAAAGAGTAAATTAACACAGGATCACAGAAAGAAGATCAGAGAAGAAAAGATGAGAGAGGTGTATTCTGAAGAGTGAGAAGTAGTCTCTATTTATAAGAGAAAGTCTGTAGCAGTTATGG